AACTCTCCACCATGGCCAAGACCAAAGAGCTCTCCAAGGATGTCAGGGACAAGATTGTAGACCTACACAAGGCTGGAATGGGCTACAAGACCATCGCCAAGCAGCTTGGTGAGAAGCTGACAACAGTTGGTGCGATTATTCGCAAATGGAAGAAACACAAAAGAACTGTCAATCTCCCTCGGCCTGGGGCTCCATGCAAGATCTCACCTCGTGGAGTTGCAATTATCATGAGAACGGTGAGGAATCAGCCCAGAACTACACGGGAGGATCTTGTCAATGATCTCAAGGCAGCTGGAACCATAGTCACCACAAAAACAATTGGTAACACACTACGCCGTGAAGGACTGAAATCCTGCAGCGCCCGCAAGGTCCCCCTGCTCAAGAAAGCACATATACAGGGCCGTCTGAAATTTGCCAATGAACATCTGAATGATTCAGAGGAGAATTGGGTGAAAGTGTTGTGGTCAGATGAGACCAAAATGGAGCTCTTTGGCATCAACTCAACTCGCCGTGTTTGGAGGAGGAGGAATGCTGCCTATGACCCCAAGAACACCATCCCCACCGTCAAACATGGAGGTGGAAACATTATGCTTTGGGGGTGTTTTTCTGCTAAGGGGACAGGACAACTTCACAGCATCAAAGGGACAATGAACGGGGCCATGTACCGTCAAATCTTGGGTGAGAACCTCCTTCCCTCAGCCAGGGCATTGAAAATGGGTCGTGGATGGATATTCCAGCATGGCCAAGGCAACAAAGGAGTGGCTCAAGAAGAAGCACATTAAGGTCCTGGAGTGGCCTAGCCAGTCTCCAGACCTTAATCCCATAGAAAATCTGTGGAGGGAGCTGAAGGTTCGAGTTGCCAAACGTCAGTCTTGAAACCTTAATGACTTGGAGAAGATCTGCAAAGAGGGGTGGGACAAAATCCCTCCTGAGATGTGTGCAAACCTGGTGGCCAACTACAAGAAATGTCTGACCTCTCTGATTGCCAACAAGAGTTTTGCCACCAAGTACTAAGTGATGTTTTGCAGAGGGGTCAAATACTTATTTCCCTCATTAAAATGCAAATCAATTTATAAGAAATATAGTTATGTAGTCTAATGTGGTGGTTTAGTTATGTAGCCCAAGTTATGTATAGTCTAGTAGTGGGTGGTTTTGTTATGTCCCCATTAAGTGTCGTGGGTTTTAGTTATGTAGTCCAGTTATGTAGTCTATGAGTGGTTTAGTTATGTAGTCAGTGTGGTGGTTTATTATGTAGCCCAGTTATGTAGTCTAGTGTGGTGGTTTAGTTATGTAGTCTAGTGTGGTGGTTTAGTTATGTAGCCCAGTTATGTAGTCTGTAGTGTGGTAGTGGTTTATTAGTATGTAGTGTTTTGTTATGTAGCCCAGTTATGTAGTCTATGTAGTGTTTAGTTTGTTATGTAGTCTATGGGTAGGTAGTGGTTTAGTTATGTAGTGTGTGTGTTATTAGGTGGTTTAGTTATGTAGCCGGTGTGGTTTTAGCCCAGTTATGTAGTTAGTGTAGTGGTTAGTTGTAGTTAGTGTGTGTTTAGTTATGTAGTTAGTGTGGTGGTGTGCAGTTATGTAGTCTAGTGTGTGGTTTAGTTATGACGTTTGTAGTCTAGTGTGGTAGTGTTTAGTTTATGTAGTCTAGATGTGTTAGTGGTTTTAGTTATGTAGCCAGTTATGTAGTCTAGTGTGGTGGTTTAGTTATGAGCAGTTATGTAGTCTAGTGTGTGGTTTAGTTATAGTTAGTCTATGTGTGGTTTAGTTGTAGCCGTTATGTAGTCTAGTGTGGTAGTTAGTTTAGTTTTTTGTTTAGCCCAGTTATGTAGTCTAGTGTAGTGGTTTAGTTATGTAGCCATTAGTAGTCTAGTGTGTGGTTTAGTTATGTACCAGTTATGTAGTCTAGTGTGGTTTAGTATGTTTAGTGTGTGTTTATGTAGCCCAGTTATGTAGTCTAGTGTGGTGGTTTAGTTATGTAGCCCAGTTATGTAGTCTAGTGTGGTGTTTAGTTATGTAGCCCAGTTTTAGTCTAGTGTAGTGGTTTAGTTATGTAGCCCAGTATGTGTCTAGTTGGTTAGTGGTTGTAGCTTATGTAGTCTAGTGTATTAGTATGTAGTCTAGTGTGGTGGTTTAGTTATGTAGCCCAGTTATGTAGTCTAGTGTGGTGGTTTAGTTATGTTAGTCCATGTAGTGTGGGTGTTAGTTTATGTAGTCTAGTGTGTGGTTTAGTTATGTAGCCGTTATGTAGTCTAGTGTGGGTTTAGTTATGTAGCCAGTATGTAGTCTGTGTAGTGGTTAGTTATGTTTATGTGTCTAGTGGTTTAGTAGTACCCAGTTATGTAGTCTAGTGTGGTGGTTTAGTTATGTAGCCCAGTTATGTAGTCTAGTGTAGTGGTTAGTTATGTAGTCTAGTGTGTGGTTAGTTATGTAGTCTAGTGTAGTGGTTTAGTTTGTAGGTTTATGTAGTCTAGTGTGGTGGTTTAGTTATGTAGCCCAGTTATGTAGTCTAGTGTAGTGGTTTAGTTATGTAGTCTAGTGTGGTGGTTTAGTTATGTAGCAGTTATGTAGTCTAGTGTAGTGGTTTAGTTATGTAGCCCAGTTATGTAGTCTATTGTTGGTGGTGGTTTAGTTATGTAGCCCAGTTATGTAGTCTAGTGTAGTGGTTTAGTTAATGTAGTTGTGTAGTGGTGTTTAGTTATGTAGCCCAGTTATTAGTCTAGTGTGGTGGTTTAGTTATGTACCCAGTATGTGTCTAGTGTGTGGTTTAGGGTTTAATGTATGTTATGTGTTAGTGTGGTGGTTTAGTTATGTAGCCCAGTTATGTAGTCTAGTGTAGTGGTTGTATGTGTCATGTGTAGTTATATGGATGATGTGGTTGAGTTATGTAGCCCAGTTATGTAAATCTAGTGTAGATGTGTTTATAGTTCATGTAAAGTTAGTGTCTAGTGGTGTTTTGTTATGTAGCCGTTATGTGTCTAGTGTGGTTTAGTTATGTAGCCCAGTGTATAGTGTAGTTCTAGTGTCAGTGGTTTAGTTATGTGCCATTGTGCTGTGTGTGTTGGTAGCAGTTATGTAGCCCAGTTATGTAGTCTGTGTAGGTTTAGTATGTACCAGTTATGTAGTCTAGTGTAGTGGTTATTATTCTAGTTCTAGTTGGTGTCTAGTTATGAGCCCTAGTTATGTAGTCTAAGGTGTGGTTGTAAGTATATGTAGTCTAGTGTGGTGGTTTTAGTTATGTAGCCAGTTATTAGTCTAGTGTAATGTTTAGTTAGTGGTTAGTCTAGTGTAACAGTGTTAGTTTATGTGTCCCATAGTGTACGTCGTAGTGCTCTATGCTACCCAGTTATGTCTCCTAGTTGTGCTTTATACATTAGCCTCAGTATGTAGTCAGTGATTTGTTTTAGGTTATGTATCTAGTGTAGGGTTTAGTTATTAGTCTAGTGTAGTGGTTTAGTAGTAGCCCAGTTGGTCATGTAGTGGCAAGCACTATGTAAGTTTAGTATGTATCTAGTTGTAGTGGTTGAGTTATGTAGTCAGTGTAGTCTAGGTAGTGGTTTAGTCCATATGTAGTCGTAGTGGTTTAGCCTTAGTAGTTATGTAGCCCGAGTTATAGGTTTGTAGGTTTGGCAGTAGCTTAGGTTAGTAAACCGAAAGTCGCGGTTCAATCCCGAGCCAACTAGGTGAAAATCTGTCGATGTGCCTTGAGCAAGGCACTTAACCCTAATGTCCTGTAAGTCGCTCTGGATAAGAGCGTCTGCTAAATAATGTAAATGTAAAGGTAATGTGTGTGGTTTAGTTATGTAGCCCAGTTATGTAGTCTAGTGTAGTGGTTTAGTTATGTAGTCTAGTGTGGTGGTTTAGTTATGTAGCCCAGCCCAGTCTGTACTTAGCTTGGCTGACGCGACGCACGTGACTCACAGCGCAGGGAGAGTTATGAACACACCAGTCTGGAAAAGAGGCTGTTTGTTAATGCAATATTCACTCAGAAATTGTGCAACGGGTTTGATTGGTTCAAATTTGTTTTTTTCCTCTGGGGTTGAGACCTCTCATTGTTTGGATTTGAAAATCCAAAGCGTTGTAATGGAAGGGGGTGGCGCTCGGGGGCTGTGTGTGGCTGTGCATGTGGGTGTTTGAGTGAGAAAGACACAGAGGAGAGTCAACCAGTAAAAGCACATTATCGATGCATTGTGCCGACAACATCAAAGAGCCATTCCAAACTCTGAAGTCAGGAGGACTCAGAGAGTTAGGTGTTACCCAGACTAGTCAGCACTCTCCTCTCCAACTGTCTCCAGCAATATCCCCATGCTCTGAACTTCTACAAAACATGTGTGCATCATCAAACAGTCCAAGCATACAGCTTCAAATGAGGACAGCAAGCTGAGAGCAGGAGGCATGTTACCAATAATTATAAAAGGAAGTCTTGAGTCTGCCATTAAAGAACATTGTCATTTTGAGTCGGGTGTAGTGGTGTACAAAAAGGGCATGTTTTTCTCTTTTCTCTCTCCTCCACTCCTCCATCCTTCCACCCCTCCATCCCTCCACCACTCCACTCCTCCATCCTTCCATCCTTCCACCCCTCCACTCCTCCATCCTTCCATCCCTCCACATCTCCACTCCTCCACCCCTCCACATCACCACTCCTCCATCCCTCCACCCTGGAAGCTTGCGGTTCTTTTGATCTCCTTTATTGCAATTGAATCCCTGGGACGGGTGGAGATGGGAGTGGAGGAGTGGAGGAGTGGAGGAGTGGAGTGGCCAAAGACAGAGTAAGAAAGACGAGAGAGAAAGCACATGTGGTGAACATTACCCCCCCCCCTCCCCCCTCTCTCTCAGACAAATATATAATTGAAAAACACATTGAGGTATATCTTTCATTTCCTGATGGCTATTACTCCAGTCAAAATGAAAACTCTGACCTGACATTCCTTTGGTTCTAATACTGATCAACAGTCCAGTATGTACAGGCTTTGACCTGCATTCTGGTCTGTACTGCCAATGGACTTTCCTGATAAACATGTTTTTTAATTATTTCTGATCAATTCTATTTTAGTCCTGAACATTGCTGATCATATTGCTGATCACTTGACCTTCCTCACTGTATACTGCATTTTGGGATAGGGACTAAACTAGTATTGTAGGACCGTCTTTATTTCATGTATGGAGAAATAGTTATGTGCAATAGTAATGACTTATTAAAACATTAGATGCCTGATATATTGTACACTGCATTGGCAAGGCTGCCAAATCACTGTAGTTACCATGTAATAATTACATCATATCTTAATAACATACCGAATATGAGCATAGTAGAAATATGTCCAAGTACAATATAAAAAACTCAACTAAATAAAAACCGCTCTTAGTTGTTCTAAGAGTTTAGGTCCTCACGAAGCAAGCCAGTAAAAAAACAGGTGTAAATGATAGAAATTGTAAAAGCACACTGCATTGAATCACTGAGTATGTAACAATAAACAACAGCAACAAAATATTCAGATAAATCAGAGCCATGTTATACAGGGTGTGCATCCCAAATAGCACCCCATTCCGTACGTAGTGCACTAAAAAGTAGTGCACTTAATAGGAAATAGGGTGACACTTTGGAAGTAGACAGGGGTTCATGACTCTTAAAGGCCTACTCTGTGATATTTACAGCCGTTTTTGATCATTAGCTTTAACGAAAACTAAGTGGAGTAAATTAAGCAGTGGGCCTTTAGACAGATCTAGCCAATGGCATTGCACATACACGAGCGCCGCCTCCGGTCACTATGGCAACCCCAGGGCCCAACTACTGAGCGAATGAAAGAAAAATAATATTACTATTCCATTACCACTTTGTCAGTTTGTTTTACAAATGTTTAGTCACTCACACTCATTCATTAACTCCCTCAATCAACCATTCATTCATTTCAGTTACATCTTCACTAATATACTTTATAGTCAACGTCAGTCCAAACAATTCTGTGTCTGTGTCCCTCTCTCTCATTTTCTTTTAACTTCTCCTTCTCCCTCTGTCCTTCTCACTCGTTTCTCCCTCCCTCCATTGCTATTTTTTTTATCCTTCTCCTTCTCCCTCCTTCTGTCCCTCTCACTTGTTCCTCATGTCTGTCCATCCTCCTCAGAAGTTATACGCCGACACAAGAACATGCACCTTCGCCACATGCTTAGCCTGGAAGGTGCGGTCACTATACTCGGACATATCCACATCAACACTGATATCCTGCGGTCCTCGTAACCCCTGAACCAGGATCAGTTCACCCGTCTGGCGGTCCGACCTTTGCATCACGAACATCCCGCGGCTGTTGCCCCCAACGATGCCGAATCGCAGGCTGTCTGGGCCAGGGCGGCCGGGGGCGGCGGCAGTCGCCATGCGGAACAGGGTAGCCGGGGTCTGGAGGTTAGAGGGGAGGGAGAGGTAGTGGAAGGAGACCGTCTTAGGAGCCAGGTGACAGGAACGACTCTCCATGGGACAGGGGTTCCTCTCACACTGACTGTGGGGGAGAAGAGAGGAGTTGTTGATGTCATTTTGACTTATTTTGAGAGCGATAGACTCTAGTGACATGAACATACAAATGAGTACACAGCACACAGAATGAAACACACACAATCTGGTACCATCATTTACAAACAGAGAACAATGAATTCCTTTCCCCGTTAGTACTCGGTCAAGCATCCCTGGTCAAAGTGTTTGAAATGAGAGACGAGATGTTTCAGTCCTGATTCGTCCTGTATGAAGAAACTGTATTGTTTTGAGATTTTTCTACTCACATAATTTGTTTAAGTCATACTGGTCTGGTTTTATGAGCATTCCTATGAGTTCCTGTATCATTTTAAGAGACACACGCCTTCCAGTGACTGTGTGTTTGTTTCCCTAAAACCTATAGCAAATGAATAAGTATGCAGAAGATATACTGTATATCTGGCTATCCCTCTAGATTGGAAACTTAATAATTGCAAAACAAAAAAGTTTCTTCATTTGGCCGCAGAGTGGACAATATTATCATTGGAAATTAGAAGAAAGCTGTCTGTCACTTGAGAGTAGTGGCTCTATCACGGGATTAAGAATAACACACACAGCGTGGCAGTATCCACCGCCACCTCTCTCTGGATTGGTGAATGCCTACAGCAGGACTACTGGGGGTCTGACACATTATTCTACTGCTGGGGGAGGAATAATACAGACACAGACACAGACACAGACACAGACCAGGGGGTGTCTATCTGTATCTACTTACAAGGGAGACGTCTTGACGTAGCTGATGTTGCCGTGTGATCGGGGACACTCAGGGCTCACACACTGGAACCCTCCTCCAGTGTTGATACATGTTGTTCCTCTACTGCAGTTGTGCTGCTGGGTCAGACATTCATCCACATCTGGAGGACACCATGAGAGAGGAATGAAAGAGAGAGGGGGAGAGATGAGAGAGGGAGAGTGAGAGAGAGGGGGGGGGGGTAGGACAGAGAGAAAGAAAAGAAAGAGAGAGAGAATGAGAGAATAAATTAAACAGAGAAATAAAGATTGAGACGTCCAGCCTCTGACCCGCCTGACTGGCACCCTGCTTCCTGGTTACCATCGTCGGGGCAGGCGGACAGGAGGGCTAGACTAGAGGACTGTGGGACTGACTGTTTATTTGGTTGTTCAGTTTAGTCTCCCCCAAACGACTCGTCTCACATCCTGGATCAAGACATTCCTTCTGGTCTGTTCTGCTGGGAAGTAGTGAGGTCATCTGTTCTTCCGCTGGCCAGCAGAGAAGGTAACGCTTCATAAGCTACAGGGGAGCTGATGAAACTGGACTGGGGAGTAGAGACTATGGCCAGGCCAGAGAGAAAGGCTGGGCCCTGAACACATCCACAGAAATACATACAGCCACCAGTCTTCTCTTTCTCTCTCTTGCTCTCTCTCTCTCTCCATCCATAGCTAAGCTAAACCATGATTTGTTTATCCCTTTATTCTCTCCATCCTTCTATTCCATCCTTCCTCTACCATTCTCTCATCCATTCCACTGGCCAGCAGCAGAGCAGTGTGAGAAGCTACAGATGAAACTGGACTGAGGACTACGGACAGGGGTCAGGGGAGAGAGGCTGGAGGAAGGATTTCACCTTTATTAATGTACTGGAAGCTCCATTGGTGTGTCCTAATGGGTCTAGCAAGCAGAGTAAATCATGTAAATCACTGCTCTCCCTGTAGCTTAGGAGTGATAAGCACCACAACCCCATCAGCCCCATTATACCCATTATACAGAGCCATAGCCAGGAACCAGGCTGTGTCTAGCTGGGTCATTCCTACATTTTACATTTACATTTTAGTCATTTAGCAGACGCTCTTATCCAGAGCGACTTACAGTTAGTGAGTGCATACATTTTCATACTGGCCACCCGTGGGAAACGAACCCACAACCCTGGCGTTGCAAGCGCCATGCTCTACCAACTGAGCTACAGCATTCCTACAATGCGGTGCCTTTTCTGTTCCCAGAAAATATAACTTCTTATTGAATGTAAAATTGTGTAAAAGGTGGATTCCAAAAGGCTTTAAATATAAGGTCAGGTGCCCTTTACCTTAAAAACACAATTTTCTGCATTTTGAAAACTTTTTTTTCAGTGGATGTATGTCACGATCGTCGACAGATGCGGACCAAGGCGCAGCGTGATAGGCGTACATACTTTATTAAGTGTACACAACAAGAACCAAAACAAACGATACGTGAAGTCCTAGGTCATAACACAAACCTTACGGAACAAGATCCCACAAATGACTAGTGAAAACAGGCTGCCTAAGTATGGTCCCCAATCAGAGACAACGAGCTACAGCTGCCTCTGATTGGGAACCACCCTGGCCAACATAGAAATAAACGATCTAGAACGAAAACATAGAAAATGTAACAGAAATTCCACACCCTGGCTCAACATTTAAGAGTCCCCCGAGCCAGGGCGTGACAGTACCCCCCCCCCCCAAAGGCGCGGACTGCGACCGCGCCACACCAACACAACGGGGTAGGGGCCGGGTGGGCATTCCGCCTCGGAGGCGGATCCGGCTCCGGGCGTGACCACCACTCTCTCTCTACCCCCCCGTAGCGCCCCTGGTCTGGTCTGGCCCCGCTGGCCGGAGCTGGACTGGACACCGGTGGAGCGGATTGCTCTGGCTCCGGTGTGGAGCAGCTGACCGGTGCCGGACTAGGCACCGGTGGAACAGGCACGGTCAGTGCCGGACTGACGACACGCACCACTGGCTTGGTGCGGGGAGCAGGAACGGGCCGGACCGGGCTGGCGACACGCACCACTGGCTTGGTGCGGGGAGCAGGAACGGGCCGGACCGGGCTGACGACGCGCACCACTGGCTTGGTGCGGGGAGCAGGAACAGGCCGGACCGGGCTGGCGACGCGCACCACAGGCTTAGTGCGGGGAGCAGGAACGGGCCGGACCGTACTGGGAACACACACCACTGGCCTTGTGCGGGAATCAGGAACGGGCCGGACCGGACTGGTGACACACACCACTTGCTTGGTGCGAGGAGCGGGACTGGGTTTCCTTCTAAACCTCCGCTCCTTCTGCTGCCTAACCAGTTCCTCTCGCCGTGCCTCTACACTCTCCCTCTCCCTCATGACCAATAGCCCCCGTAACCCGGTGGCCTCCTCTGCTAACCGGCTGAACCGCTCTATCGCGGCCTCCTGCTGCCTCGTCGTCCACGGCGTGAGCCCCCCCCCCTAAAAAATTATTGGGCTTGTCTCTCCCCCGTGATCATAGCCTCCATCCCTCTCGCCAGACTCTCTCTCCTCTCCTCCCAAGTCCATCCTCTCTCCTCGTCACGCTGCTTGATCCAGTCAAGGTGGGATCTTCTATCACGATCGTCAACAGATGTGGACCAAGGCGCAGCGTGATAGGCGTACATACTTTATTAAGTGTACACAACAAGAACCAAAACAACAAAACAAACGATACGTGAAGTCCTAGGTCATAACACAAACCTTACGGAACAAGATCCCACAAATGACTAGTGAAAACAGGCTGCCTAAGTATGGTCCCCAATCAGAGACAACGAGCTACAGCTGCCTCTGATTGGGAACCACCCTGGCCAACATAGAAATAAACGATCTAGAACGAAATCATAGAAAATGTAACAGAAATTCCACACCCTGGCTCAACATTTAAGAGTCCCCCGAGCCAGGGCGTGACAATGTAGGTGTTTTTGCCATGTTCCCATGACCCCGGGTGTTATTCATCAACTTCTATGAGAAACATATTGTGTTATGTAACACTGTAAATTATAGGAATTAGTGGTTTTGGGTGGATTTTTCCTTTAATCTCAATCACCCACAGAGATATGGCTAATTTAGGTTCCATATTTCCACCCTGTTAGGTTCCACCATGTTAGGATTATGCAATGACTGTAGTGTATTATGCATCTAGAGATTTAAGTGCCTGAGCTTGACCAATATGTTTTTCTGAAAGTCCTTTTTCTGATAGAATGCTAAACAAATGAAAAATATAGGGTACTTTTCCCCAAAAAAGTTATGTGGTCCAAAAGGCTATAGATGGTATGAATGACCCAGCCATCAAATCATTGCTTCCTCCATCCTCCAGCCTTGTTTACTCAATTCCTCTCAAAGCACAAGGAAGCAAGGACACAAGGATTTGACAGCTAACGTTTCCAGACACAGCCCGTCTGGCCCTCCCTGCCTGTAGCTTTGTAGTTATAAGCCCAGCGCTGCAGCCCCATGCATAGAGCCACAGCCAAAACCCATGGAAATGAATGGGCCATTGTCCTCCATCCCCTCCTACTAGAGGTCTTCACCGGTCCAAAAAGTTGGATCCGTTCCGAAATGGATCCGTGGCTTTCCCACCCGACCCGATATGCATATACTGTATATATATATATATATATATTCCGAACGAAACCGAGGACAGTCACACCCTTTCCGAAAAGCACAGTGGAAAACAGACCAAAACAGACCCGTGCTGTTTGGGATTCGACAGACCTGTTCAGATCCTGAGAGAAAGAGAGAGAGAAAGACACCTCCAACTGGGCACTGCCAGCGCCATCAATAAACAAGCGATATTGGCCAAATGATCCACAGTTATTTGTCCTTAAAAACTGCCTATAACAAATTACCCAAAAAACTATTAACGTTAGTTGTGTTTCGATAGTAGTCTTTTGTTTTATTGGTTTTTACTTTCCTAAAACAATAGTTGTCTACCTCACGGTTCAGCTGTTGGAGATTTGAGCGATAGGCTACATGCATCAGGGCATTGCATGTATAAGGCCTAAGTGTCCACAGTATGATATTAATATTTAAAAAATAAATATTAAAGGAGACAAGCTTAGGCCTAGCCCTAGAGAGACCGAGAGGAAGATAGAGATATGCCGGCGCCATGTTCCTGACATCGACATGGATTTATTTATACTTGTCAGATAGGCTACTACTGCTATACAGATATAGGTGTACAGAAGGACGCTAATTCGTGAATTTTCGCTCAGAATATATTTGATAATGATACGCATTATTGTTAGATTAAAGGAGTAACTCTGGTAGTCCTAAAACATTCTTCCTCAAGATGTTTGATTTGATTTATTAGGATCCCCATTAGCCGAAGGAAATGGCGACAACTAGTCTTACTGGGGTCCGACACATAACGAAAAATACATGACAGACAAAATACTTTACAATGTAACTTACATACATTTAAAAACATTAACATGTAGTGTGTGTGTGCATCTAGAGGAGTCAATTGGAGTCAGTTGGAGTCAGTTGGACTCAGTTGGAGTCAGTTGGAGTCAGTTGGAGTGCCGGTGCGCATTGCCTTTATAGGCCTGCTGTAGCTAAGCCTAATAATAGCCATACCACACCAAACCTTCACAAACGTTGTTTAACTTTATCAGGGTAATATCAAAAGTAAGTCAAGTCATTGTTTATAGGGAAAATACAAATAGGTTATTATATTGCGGCATTACATTAATTACCAACAAATGGCAATTGCCTACCGTAGGCCTACCCAACAAATGACAGCAAGAGGCTAATACTATTTATTTTACAACAGGCCTACTTTTAACCTTAAACTAAATTCGGAGTACAAAATTAAAGACAGAACTGAATTTAGCCACGAAAATGTCTCAACAAAAAGAAACAAAACAATTTTTGCATAGGCTATTTAAAGAACTGGTTTTGATGATTAAATAGTCCAACAATAATAATCATAATCATAATCATAATAATCATAATGATTTACAATAATATTAACGACTAAACAATTGATAATGAATACGAAAATAAATCAATAAAAAAGGTAGAAAATTGCATCAAACCTGAATAGCGAGTTGCACACAGCCACGCCAACGTCCTTCTCATCTTTGTCCACTACAAAATTCAAACTTGTCCCCGAGGACATTCCCCTTGTCGTCCCCGAGGACATTCCCCTTGTCGTCCCCGAGGACATTCCCCTTCTCGGCTTCTTTTCACTATACTCTTTCTCCTCTATCTGAACATTTTCTTAAATGAAAAAGGACCAACTTCGCAATCAACAGTAGCCTAGGCCAAGGCTCCTTTCACTCACTCTCTCGCTCTCTCTCCTCAGCAGCAGGCGCACTTGAGGCGAATAGCCGGAACCAGTTTCAGCTGGATATAAGCTATACGTTTTATTGAGTTGCAATTGGCTGACACAGATAACAAGCTCGCGTTCTCATCACACAAACACTAAATTAACTGAGTACAGGTGCAATCGGGTCCAGTCTGTTAATACATTTTAATTGCACATCCCAGAGACCCCTGGCAATTATATCAGACCAGACCCAGATCCAAGACAAAAGTCAGAATCTAGGACTAGGACCGGCTTGGGTCCCTGGTGGATCTTGGAATTTCGGGTCTGTTGAAACCATGAAGACCTCTACCTCCTACCCTCCCTACCGCCCTCCATCCTCTCCTATCCTCCATCCCATCCTACCCCCCTTCCGCCCTGCATCCCTCCATTCCCTTCTACCCTCCATTCTGCCCGCATCCCTCTATCCCCTCCTACCCTCCCTTCCCCCCTCCATCCCCTCACACCCTCCTACCCTCCTGTCACTCACCCTCACAGCTCCTTCCATCAGGCAGCAGCTTGTAGCCTCTGGGGCAGGAGCACTGGTAGGAGCCAGGGACATTGACACACTCATACACACACAGCTTGCCCCCCTGGTCCAGCCGGTACACCTCACACTCGTTCACATCTGGGAGAAGGAGAGAGAGGAGGGGGGGAGAGTGGTTTCATTTGGCCCCTCAAGTTTTCGGAGCAAAAAACTAACTGATTTATTTTCATGGTTGGACATAAAAGACTATAAAAACACCAGGAAATCAGCTCCAAGTGATTTTAATTTTGGAAATCGGTTCCCAAGTATTTCCACACATAATAGAGAGATATTTGATCGTATAGAAATGTAAAGAAGGTTTGAAATGATTATGTTTTAGTCAAATATTGTATTTGTATGGGCTTCTTGCGGTCAATTTGCAGTTTACAAATTATTTGTAATTATGTTCCAGCCCCCCCGACCATCCGCTCAAGAAGAAATTGTCCCGAGCCTGAATCTAGTTGATCATTCCTGCCCTTGAGTCATATATTTACAAGGATCGAGACAGGAATACAGCACAGAAGAATAGAAAGACTGTCACGCTGTGATGAGTGTGATAGAAGGAGTCAGGCGCAGGAGGGTAAATCACAGAATACAGAGTTTATTCCGTCGTACACAATTGCGCTGGATAGCGACACACGAAAACAGGTACAGGGGAACTATCTACCCTGGCAATACACGGTACGGGATACTCCAACAATATACAGGCACAGTGGAAATATCTACTCCGGCAATACAAAGTGCAAGTAGCTCCACCGAGCTACACTACTCTCACAAATAACAATCACCAACAAGGACAAGGGGGGCAGAGGGAACACTTATACACAGACTAATGAGGGGATAAGAACCAGGTGTGTGTAATTGACAAGACAAGACAAATGGAATGATGAATTATGGAGCGGCAGTGGCTAGTAAGCCGGTGACGACGAACGCCGAAGCCTGCCCGAACAAGGAGGGGAGGCAGCCTCGGCGGACGTCGTGACAGTACCCCCCCCCCCCCCCCCCCCCCTTGATGCGCAGCTCCAGCAGGGCTGACCCTGGCCTCTGGGATGGCCAGGAGGACGCGGAGCAGGGCGAGCCGGATGGCGACAGTGGAAATCTCGCATCAGCGAGGGATCGAGGATATCCCTCACCGGGACCCAGCACCGTTCCTCCGGACCGTACCCCTCCCACTCCACGAGGTACTGAAGGCCTCCCCCCCCCCCCCCCCCGGCGCCTCGAATCCAGGATAGAACGGACAGAGTACGCCAGGGCGTTAGGTTAGTAGAGGAGTGGCGGAGAGAGTTCTGGGCATATTCTGCCCATGGCAAGAACACCGATCACTTCCCCGGCCGGTCCTGGCAGTAGGACCGCAGGAACCTACCCACATCCTGATTTACCCGTTTCACCTGCCCATTAGACTCGGGTGGAACCCAGAGGTCAGGCTGACCGAGAAATCCAGACGTTCCATGAATGCCTTCCAGACCTTGGACGTGAACTGAGGACCTCGGTCGGACACTATATCCTCTGGTACCCCGTATTGCCAGAAGACGTGAGTAAACAGGGCCTCCGCAGTTTGCAGGGCCGTGGGGAGACCGGGCAGAGGAAGGAGGTGGCAGGACTTGGAAAAGCGGTCCACAATGACCAGGATGGTGGTGTTACCTTTGGAGAGGGGAAGATCAGTCAAGAAATCAACACTAGGTGAGACCATGGTCGTTGTGGAACTGGTAAAGGTTGTAACTTACCCGCTGGGAGGTGCCTAGGTGCCTTACTCTGGGCGCACACCGAGCAGGAGGAGATGTACACCCTCACGTCAAGGTAAGCCACCAGTACCTTCCGGTCAGGCAGCACACTGTACGACCGATACCTGGGTGACCACAATGCAGGAGGCCGGGAGTATGGGGGTGTTGTCTCTGGGCCTGTCCTCTATGTCATACAGCCGGGACATTGCGTCTGCCTTCACGTTCTTCGTACCCGGAATGTATGACAGTGTAAAATCAAACCGGGTGAAGAATAGGGCCCACCTGGCCTGGCGAGAATTCAGCCTCCTCGCTGCCCGGATGTACTCCAGGTTACGGGTGTCCATCCAGACGAGGAAAGGGTGTTTCGCAACCTTCAAGCCAATGCCTCCACACGGTCAAATCTCGGAAAACAGCCAACAGCTCCCGATCACCAACGTCGTAGTTCTGCTCCGCCGGGCTGAGCTTCTTAGAGAAAAAGGCACAGGGGCGGAGCTTGGGTGGCGTGCCCGAGCGTTGAGATAGGACAGCGCCTATCCCTACCTCGGACGCATCCACCTCCACTACGAACGGTAGTGATGGATCGGGGTGGGCCAGTACCGGGGGTGAGGTGAACAGACCCTGCAGTTTACTGAAGGTCAGGTCAGCCTCAGCAGACCAGCGGAGCCGGGATGGCCCACCCTTCAACAGGGATGTAATGGGAGCTGCGACCTTGCCAAAGCCCCGGATAAACCTCCGATAGTAGTTGGCGAAGCCAAGGAAGCGCTGCACCTCCTTAACCGTGGTTGGAGTCGGCCAATTACGCACGGCTGAAATGCGATCTCCCTCCATCTCCACACTTGAGGTGGTAATGCGGTATCCGAGGAAGGAGACGGACTGCTGGAAAAACATACACTTCTCTGCCTTGGCATAAAGGTCATTTTCCAACAGTCGGGCCAGCACTTTGTGAACCAGGGACACATGCTCGGCGCGCGTAGCGGAATACACCAGGATGTCATCGATGTAGACCACCACACCGCGACCAAGCATGTCCCGAAACACCTCGTTCACAAAGGACTGGAAGACGGATGGAGCATTCATCAAACCGTAGGGCATCACCAGGTATTCATAATGCCCCGTGGTTGTGCTGAATGCTGTCTTCCACTCATCCCCCTCCTGAACACGCACCAGGTTGTATGCACTCCTGAGATCTAATTTGGTGAAGAAGTGCGCCCCATGCATTGAAACAATCACTGAAGAAATTAGGGAAAGAGGATAACTAAATCTTATCGTCTCCTTGTTCAGTGATCGATAATCAATGCACGGGCGCAGACTGCCGTCTTTCTTCTTCACAAAGAAGAAACTTGAGGAGGCAGGTGAAGTGGAGGGACGTATATACCCCTGGCCCAGGGATTCAGTGACGTATGTTTCCATAGCTTCCGTTTCAGCCTGCGACAGGGGGTACACATGACTCATGGGAGGTACAGCATCTACCCGAAGGTTTATCGCGCAATCCCCCGCCCGATGAGTTGGTAATTTGGTCGCTTGCGTCTTAGAAAACGCGTGCGCCAGATCATGGTATTCGGGGGGAATGCGCACAGTGGAGGTACCGTCTGGACTTTCCACCGTGGTTGCACCAACGGAAACACCTACACACCTACCTTGACACTCTCGCGACCACCCCGTGAGAACCCTCTGCGGCCATGAGAAGGTGGGGTTGTGGAGTGCTAGCCAAGGGATACCCAATACCACAGGGAAAGCAGGAGACTCAATAATAGAAAAAGTAACCTGCTTACAATGAGTCTCCTGGGTGATCATGGTGACTGGTACAGTAACTTCCTTAACAAACCCAGACCCTAATGGTCAACTATCAAGTGCTCTGATGGGGAGTGGAATGGATAGGGGAACCAATGTAATGCCTTAACGGCGTGAGAATGCCCTGTCCATAAAGTTCCCAGCTGCGCCTGAATCAACTAGCGCCTTACACTGGGGAACTACCATGTGATCAGGAAAGTAGATAGGTAGGGTACAGTGTGCAGCAGAGGGCTCTGAACGAGTGTGGGTGTTCGATACCTGGGGTGATGCGAAGAGTGCCCTGCCTGCCGCCTCCAGACCCAAAAGAGTGCTGACGACTACGTGTGGTGTACTGTCCCTTCGTGCCACCAGAGTGGCACTGTCGCTGTCGTCCTCCGGTCTCTCGGACAGCGGCTCCACCCAGCTCCATCAGCTCGGGATCCGAGTCGTCCGGGGTGGAAACGGGCAGACCCCTACCAGGACGTCCTCTGGCTGCCAGCAGGTTGTCCAAACGGATGGCCATGTCCACCAGTTGCGTGAAAGACAACATGGTGTCCCGGCAGGCTAGCTACCGTCGGACGTCCTCCTGCAGATGGCACCGGAAATGGTCGATCAGGGCCTGCTCGTTCCACCCGGATCCCGCTGCCAGAGACCGAAACTCCAACGCAAAGTCCTGCGCGGTCCTCGTCCCCTGCCTCAGGTGGACCAGCCGCTCGCCCGCCTCTCGACCCTCGGGCGGGTGATCGAAGACCGCCCGAAAGAGGTGAGCGAACTCCCCGTAGTTCTCCAACGCGGCTCCTCCTTCGTTCCAAACCGCGTTGGCCCACTCCAGGGCTTTCCCCGAGAGGCAGGAAACGAGGACGGACACCTTCTCCCGCTCCGATGGGGCCGGCCTGATGCTGGAGAAGTAGAGCTGGCAGAGCGCCGCCGTCCCGTCGAATGGCCGTGGTCGGGATATCTGGATCCCTCCAGGTGCTGGGGTGTAGGTGGCTGGATCCGGTTGGCCAGCTGGTCTCGACAGATCGGGTCCTCTCCTCTCCAGGCGTTGGACGACCTGAAGAACCCGATCCATCGCTTCCCTCAAGCTGGCCAGTATCGTGGAATGCTCCTGGACCCGTGCCACGACTCCAGGCATGCGCTCCTCTCCCTCTGACTCCATAGTTGGTGGTGATTCTGTGATGAGTGTGATAGAAGGAGTCAGGCGCAGGAGGGTAAATCACAGAATACAGAGTTTATTCCGTCGTACACAATTGCGCTGGATAGCGACACACGAAAACAGGCACAGGGGAACTATCTACCCTGGCAATACACGGTACGGGATACTCCAACAATATACAGGCACTGGGGAAATATCTACCCTGGCAATACAAAGTGCAAGTAGCTCCACCGAGCTACACTACTCTCACAAATAACAATCACCCACAAGGACAAGGGGGGCATAGGGAACACTTATATACAGACTAATGAGGGGATAAGAACCAGGTGTGTGTAACTGACAAGACAAGACAAATGGAATGATGATATATGGAGCGGCAGTAGCTAGTAAGCCGGTGACGACGAACACCGAAGCCTGCCCGAACAAGGAGGGGAGGCAGCCTCAGCGGAAGTCGTGACACACGCCTGCTCCCACTCCCCCTCCCTGACGCTCGAGGGCGCCAGGCTGCCCATCATTACGCACACCTGTCACCATTGTTACGCGCATCAGCGCTTCATTGGACTCAACTGGACTTCATCACTGCTTAATTACTTCCCCTATATCTGTCTGTTCCTCAGTTTGATCCCCGTGTCTGCATTGATGTTGTTATGTTTCCCCTGTCCAGACGCTGTCCGTGTTTTGTTTCATGTCTGTATATATTAAATGTTCACTCCCTGTACTTGCTTCGCGTCTCCCAGCATTTGTCCTCACAAAGAGAGGGATAGGTAGAAGGATACAGTAGGTAGAAGGATTTGGGGTAAAAGCAAGAGCCCCTCTGTCGAATCTCTGATCTGTTCTGTCTGGCATGGGGTCAGGAGAGAGTTGTTTAATGCCTAATTAAGAGTCAGGACCAATAACATGACATTCCTGGAACAGCACAGGAGAGGGAAAGGGGTGCTCCAGGGTCTGGACATTGCAGCCATGTCAAGCAGCAGACCTGGGTTCAAATAGTATTTGTTATCTTTCAAATTATTGGAAGGTGGAGATATCGCCACCATATTTCTTAAATCTATCCAATCCTCTCAGATCCTAACTAGTGTTTAGTGGGTAGGGGCTAGATGCTAGGGGTTGTTTCTGGATAAGGCCAGTCTTTCCCTGGCAGATGGGAGTTGTCTGAGGTGCCACTCATATAATAATATAATATAATAATAATCACATATGAAACACAGCATCACAGCTACAGTGTTGGGCTCTGTCCACTTTGGCATAGCCTGGTTAAACCAGACTGAACAAGACTAACCATGTTAATATAACCAAACTAACCAGGCTAGATCACTGTCTGACTGTCTCACCCTGGCAGATGCTGTTGTCTGAGGTACCACTCATATAAAACATAGCATCACATTGACTGTCTCACCCTGGCAGATGCTGCTGTCCGAAGTACCACTCATATGAAACACAGCATCACATTGACCGTCTCACCCTGGAAGATGCTGCTGTCCGAAGTACCACTCATATGAAACACAGCATCACATTGACTGTCTCACCCTGGCAGATGCTGTTGTCCGAAGTACCACTCATGTGAAAGCCAGCGTCGCAGCTACAGTGTTGGGCTCTGTCCACCTTGGCACAACGGGGTCGTCTGCTGAATGCCGGGTCGTTCATGACGCTCCACTCGGGCGGCGCTGAACGCGAGAGAGGGAGAGGGAGGAGCTTAAACTTCGCCCGGCGGCCCGGAGAGGGCCTGTGCACCACTGGACAACACAACCACAACCATGCACAAAAAGCACAGGCACAAATACAATCACAGCACAACCACAACACAACCGTGCAGACGTACATGACAATACATGGACAAACAACAAAGACAAGGACATACACATATCAAGGACTTGACAACACATAGACAGACATACCACAACACAACACATACTAACAACAATGCACAGATATCCACAAATACAGTATGTACAACAGAACATCATATGTGAGATAGTAACAAATAGCAATATCATGCAATTGTCTCTAGATCCTATGTCCTATGGTAGGCTCTCATGTGTATGAAGTCTGGTACTGCTGACCTGTCTGTGTCTGGTGCTGACAGTTGGATCCACTCCAGCTCTGTGGACAGGTGCACTTGTATTGGTTGACTCCCTCCACACAGGTCCCTCCGTTCTGGCATGGGTTACTGGAGCACTCACTGACATCTATAGACATAAGGGAGAGGTGAAATAATGAAAGATTTCCCTTACCAAGATGGCTGTCCATTAGTCACATTGTCTGGAAAGCCAATGTCCATTCTAGTGTTCTATTTAATTCTGTGGTTGAAACTGTTGAAAATACATACTTTGTCCCACACATGAATGAGCCTACTGTTAGCTCTCTACTTGTCTCAACCCCATCTAGGGGCTGTATGTCTGCTCTCTGTCCAGGGGATGGGTGATACCTAATACAGCAGATTGAGACCAGACTAACCTGGTAGCATCATTTACAGACAGAGGACAATTCATTCCTTTCCCCATCAATACTCCCCTTCAAGTCTCCAGCCTCACCGTTCAAAGTGCTTGAAATGAGAGATTAAATGTTTCAGTCCTGATTCATACTGTATAAAGAAGGGGTATTGTTTGAGCTAAATGGACTTGCATAGATGGAGAAATGGATGGATGGTGATTTGTGTGGTGAGCATGATGAACAAAGCTCTCCAGAGACTGTTGGCATGGTTTTATTAGCATCATTTACATTTTACATTTTAGTCATTTAGCAGACGCTCTTATCCAGAGCGACTTACAGTTACTGCACAAATTTTTTCATACTGGTCCCCCGTGGGAATCGAACCCACAACCCTGGCGTTGCAAGCGCCATGCTCTACCAACTGAGCTACACATGACTCATGGTTTTAATGGTTTTACAATGGTTTTAATTATTGTATAATTGTAATGTTAGGAGTTTGTGTGTTTATGTAATTGCTTATAACACGTGAAAAACTCCCTAGAAGAGGTTTTTACTGATTTATAAATATGGAGAAAAGGTTATTCCTCTAACGTGGAAACTTAATCCATTAGAACAAAAACGCTTCTTCAGTTAGCTGCAAAGTGGACAATGTTTTCATTGGAAATGAGAAGAAAGCTGTCTGTCTCTTGAGAGTAGTGGATCTAAGAATAATACACACACCCACACCCTACTCTACCCCTCATCCCCCCACCCTGTATCCACCGCCACCTCTCTCTGAATTGGTGGAATGGCTGAAGCAGGACTACTGGGGGTCTGACACATTTTTGTGGATCCTTTGTTCGAACTTCCCGAAGCAGCCCCATTCATCCTGGGTGCTAAACCAAAAAAAGGTTGATGGGGTCCCCTGTAGCTCAGTTGGTAGAGCATGGCGCTTGCAACGCCAGGGTTGTGGGTTCATTTCCCACGGGGGGCCAGTATGAAAAATGTTTGCACTCACTAACTGTAAGTCACTCTGGATAAGAGCGTCTGCTAAATGACTAAAATGTAAATGTAGTCAGACTCAGGCCGCAAGCAAACCATCCACCGCTTCCGAGTATATTACTCGCTAACATTCAGTCCCTGGACAATAAAGTAGATGCGCTCAGAGCGAGGATCTCTTTCCAGAGAGACATAAGGGACTGTAACATACTCTTGATTTCTATTTTTGTGTGTGTGTACTTGTTTGATATTTTACTGTATTGTTAAGAGCTAGTAACATAAGCATTTCGCTGCACCCGCTATAACATCTGCTAAACTGTGTACGCGAACAATAAACTTTGATTAGATTTCTCTACTGCTAGGGGGAGGAATAACACACACACGCCCCATTCAGGGTGACTTTGTCTGAGCTGGAGCAGCCCCTGAAAGCCAAGCTGAAAGGGAGAAGGCAGCCCATCCCGTGAGTCCGCCAGCTGACCAGCTAAAAGGGGTTCCAAGCCTCACATAAACAGATAAGGGGATCAGAAGAAAAGGTCCATTCTTCAGTGTTCCTGAAGCTCAGAGCCCTCACTGAATGAACCCCTCGTTAAAGTGGCATTAAATGTCTCAGAGGACACAGAAAACACCTGTACTAGACTGCATTCCAGAGCGGGGCGCATTCCCCTATTTCCCTTCCCCTCTCCGTGTTGCTGCTATAATAACGATTACTTCCTAAATGGCATTATATTCTCTATGTAGTGCAATTTTGACCAGGGCCCATAAGTAGTTGAGAATAGGATGTCATTTGGGACGCAGTCCAGGATTGGCAGCAGGGCTACTGTAAAATAACTAGCCCCTTCATTTTAATCTGTTTCTCCCTACAGTCTCTTTGTCCAGGGGTTCCAGGAGGCAGAGGTTAAGTCCATCCATGCTGTTTCTCCCTACAGTGTCTTTGTCCAGGGGTTCCAGGAGGCAGAGGTTAAGTCCATCCATGCTGTTTCTCCCTACAGTGTCTTTGTCCAGGGGTTCCAGGAGGCAGAGGTTAAGTCCATCCATGCTGTTTCTCCCTACAGTCTCTTTGTCCAGGGGTTCCAGGAGGCAGAGGTTAAGTCCATCCATGCAGCACGCACACATTTCATTACAGAACCACGGCCCATGGTCTGATAGCAGCAACTATGTTAAGCATGCTATTGATGGCTCACATCTCTGCCAGCCCGGCCATCGCTACTGGCACTAGCCGAGACATTCTAAGGTTGCATTCCAAATGGCACCCTATTCACATAGGGCTCTGGTCAAAAGTAGTGCACTAAATAGGGAATAGGACGCCATTTGAGACACATCCCAAGTGGTACAGTCAGTTCAGTCAGTGTGTGCTTAGGTCTCTAAGGAGACGGTGATGTTGATGTTTAAAACGACCAGGAAAAGACCCAACTTGCACAATATCATCTCTGTAGATGGGTTAAAAGGGGGGTAGCCCTATACATACATAAGATGTCTAAATTTAGAGTTTGGCTTTAAAAAAGCACTATTGAGACTATTGAGAGAGAGAGGATGAAAAATGTAAAATATGTGGAAAAGGAGTTTAAAAATATCCCGGGGAGTGAAATAGGTCTATACATCTGTACCTGTCCTGTGGTCAGGTGGCCCCGGGGAAGGCAAATAAACACCATCAGATTAGGAGAGTAGTCAAAATACAGTTAGCCCTCAGAGGCAAAGACCTACATCTTTCCCTCTTTCTTTTCTCTCTCCCTCTCCCTCTATCTATCCCTCTATATTACTCTCGTTCAAAGTACAGTTAGCCCACAGAGCTAAAGACCCAGGCACTGTGCTCTCCTTCTATCCTTATTTCTCATTCCCTCTTTCTCCCTCTATCTATCCCTCTCCCTCTCTCTCCCTCTATCTATCCCTCTCCCTCTCTCTCCCTCTATCTATCCCTCTCTCTCTTTCTCCCTCTATCTATCCCTCTCCCTCTCTCTCCCACTATCTATCCCTCTCTCTCTTTCTCCCTCTATCTATCCCTCTCCCTCTCTCTCCCTCTATCTATCCCTCTCCCTCTTTCTCCCTCTATCTATCCCTCTCCCTCTCTCTCCCTCTATCTATCCCTCTCCCTCCCTCTTATAGGTCAGGTCTTTTTCACTCTGCACCTTCTCTCTCTCTCACACACTCTCGTCTTCTCTCTCTCTTTTTCTCTCTCTCTCCCTCTCCTTGTCTTTCTCCCCCTCTATCCCTCCATCTCTTCCCCTTTCTCTCCTCCTCATATTCTCTTCCTCTATCTCTCTCTCTCTATCTCTCTCTTCCTCTCTCTTTTTTAAACCTCTTTCCCTCTCTCTTCCTCCGTCATCAATCTTTACAAGTCTACAGGGCCCTCTGTCTGAACAGACTACTCTAGATTCTAGGACAACAAAGGGTCTGGGTCGCAGACGCCAGCTTTCTGTACAGTAGTGTTCTTTCTAACAAACTAAACAAGCTCAGTCAGAGCAGTTCCTTACAGGAATGTCTGTCTGTTAACTCTTCAGTCTGTCTCAATTTCTTTTTTATTGTTGCTCAACTCTGAGTAGTAGAGGGTACACTGTCTGGCACAACCCAATAATTAATGCAGGGTTAATTTCATTAGGTAGCAAATTAAAGAAAACAGACTGAAAAAGAGAGGGACTACCTGGAATTGTCCAATGAAAAACACACATTTTCCGTTGCTAAACATTTTACATTGCATGCCCTAATGAACACGGCCTAGATTTAGTGTGCATGGTCACATTGCAGTAAGCCAACCATATTTTTGTAGCCGCTGCAGCCACTCTGACCACAGTTTATCAGAAAATCTTCATAGGCCAAATTGTGAAGAACAGGATGGGAGTTTAAAGTGATAGTGATGTCAGTAGTAAAAGCTAAGCACTAACAGGTGAATGGATGGATCGCCACTGTGCAGACACATACTTTGAAGACACGGCTTCAATACACCATTGCACTCTGATATAACATTAGCATGTGGTAAACATTTTTCCCTGTAACCATCCCTACTTACTCTTTACTAACACCCCTTCCCCCTCTCTGCCGCCCTCTCTGTCCCCCGACTGCTGATTAAAGGTATTAACAGTAATAGCAGTAAATTCCAGTGCGTTGTGAGGACAGAGTCCATGGCAGCAGCACTAGTGAAATAACAACAGGAGAAGAGGAGTGGTGTGACCTTTACAATTTACAGTGACTGGCTGCTGTAAACTAAAGTCATTTTAAAGAGGAACGTTTGTGTAGGAAATAGCAAAACTAGCCACTGACCAAATGTTGTCTTGGTGGAAACTGCAATGTAAAGCGTGAGATGGGCTCTGGTGTCAGGTGGACAGACAGACAGTGGACAGACACATTGGAACGTTGTTATTAACTTACTGCCAAATAAAGGTATGGTGGTGCAATGTGTGCGGGTCCCATCTCTTCAAGTCTTCCTCGGCCCTGCACCACCTAAAGTGATATGTGTTTGACGATATTGCCTATTTGGACAGACAGACAGACAGACAGTAATGTACCTTTACAGATGGTGTTGACACCATTCCAACTCCCGTTCTCCAGACACACACGTGTCCCGGGGCCCACCAGATGGTAACCATGGGAACAGGTGAAATGGACCTCATGACCGATGAAGTACTTGGAGCCAAACTTCTGCCCGTGGACAGGGGCTTCCAGGGAGGGGCATACAGAGGGAGCTGAGGTAGAGAGAGAAGAGGGAGGGAGGGAGGACAGAGGGAGGTAGAGGGAGAGAGGGGGAGGAAGAGAGAAGGAGAGAGAAGATTGTCAGACATGTATGCATATGGAGTCGTGCACCCAGCATCCTGTGGTATTTAGTGCCTGAGGACATACACATGTCAACCGGGTACTGTTGGTACTGTAGGACTCTCGGACCACTTCATGGGAAAAGACTGACGCAATGCCTCATTTAATCCAACAGATTACTGCTACTAGCCGTTCTGGAGGCGAGGGGAAACCAACAATACCAGCTCTAAAACTAAATAAAACAGCTACTTCAAATAGTTCTCAACAAATCACCATTTTATTGAGAGAAACTAGGCCCATAAAGAATAAAATGGCATCAATAATAGAAAAGAATCCCACAAATGTACATTATTGAAAGCCAAGGTGTTAATGTAATTACCCACTGATCAAATGTTCCCATTCGTTTAACTGTACAAAAATATGCCTGAAAGATGAGGTATGTTGGTTATGTATCAAAATGCTGCTTCCTGCCATACCTGTGTTCTATAGCGGATTTAGCCTACTACTTACAATTGAAAGCCAAGGTGTTAATGTAATTAGATCAGTATGTGCTGCTTTTCTAAATCTGTATCAAAATAAAGACGTTTGACCCCTAGTACAGTACAGCCTACGCTTTTGGGATAAACACCCCACACCCTGTCTATTGCATAATACTGTACCTCCCAAAGTAAAATTGTATGGAAATACTGTAAGTAGCAGGTTAAATCCGCTATAGAACACAGGTATGGCAGGAAGCAGCATTTTGATACATAACCAACATACCTCATCTTTCAGGCATATGTTTGTACAGTTAAACGCAGGGAATGTTCTTACTGTGCTTTCAATTTTGAACTAAAATTGAAAGCACAGTAAGAACCTCCCCCACCCTTATGCATTCATTAATTCAAGGGATTTTTTAAATCAAATTTAATGGGATAATAAACACTGAGTGTACAAAACATTTTCTTTCACCTTTATTTAACCAGGTAAGCCAGTTGAGAACAAGTTCTCATTTACAACTGCGACCTGGCCAAGATAAAGCAAAGCAGTGCGATAAAAACAACAACACAGAGTTACATATGGGGTAAAACAAAGCATAAAGTCAAAAATACAACAGAAAATATAAAATATATATACAGTGTGTGCAAATGTAGCAAGTTATGGAGATAAGGCAATAAATAGGCCATAGTGCAAAATAATTACAATTAGTATTAACACTGGAATGATACATGTGCAAGAGATTATGTGCAAATAGAGATACTGGGGTGCAAATTAGCAAAATAAATAACAATATGGGGATGAGGTAGTTGGGTGGGCTAATTTCAGATGGGCTGTGTACAGGTGCAGTGATCGGTAAGGTGCTCTGACAACTGATGCTTAAAGTTAGTGAGGGAGATAAGAGTCTCCAGCTTCAGAGATTTTTGCAGTTCGTTCCAGTCATTGGCAGCAGAGAACTGGAAGGAATGGCGGCCAAAGGAGGTGTTGGCTTTGGGGATGACCAGTGAGATATACCTACTGGAGCGCATACTACGGGTGGGTGTTGCTATGGTGACCAATGAGCTAAGATAAGGCAGGGATTTGCCTAGCAGTGATTTATAGATGGCCTGGAGCCAGTGGGTTTGGCGACGAATATGTAGTGAGGACCAGCCAACAAGTGCGTACAGGTCACAGTGGTGGGTAGTATATGGGGTTTTGGTGACAAAACGGATGGCACTGTGATAGACTACATCCAATTTGCTGAGTAGTGTGTTGGAGGCTATTTTGTAAATGACATCGCCGAAGTCAAGGATCAGTAGGATAGTCCGTTTTACGAGGGCATGTTTGGCAGCATGAGTGAAGGAGGCTTTGTTGCGAAATAGGAAGCCGATTCTGGATTTAACTTTGGATTGGAGATGCTTAATGTGAGTCTGGAAGGAGAGTTTACAGTCTAACCAGACACCTAGGTATTTGTAGTTGTCCACATACTCTAGGTCATTAAGAACAATTACCTAATATTCCTTTGCACTCAGAACATCCTCAATTCGTTGGGGCATGGACTCTACAAGGTGTCGAAAGTGTTCCACATGGATGCTGGTCCATGTTGACTCCAATGCTTCCAGTTGTGTCAAGTTGGCTGGATGTCCTTTGGGTAGTGGACCATTCTTGATACACGCGGGAAACTGTTGAGCGTGAAAAACCCAGCAGCGTTGCAGTTCTTGACACAAACCGGTGCGCCTGGCACCTACTACCATACCCCGTTAAAAGGCACTTCATTTTTTGGTCTTGCCCATTCACCTTCTGAACGGCACACATACACAATCCACGTCTCAATTGTCTCAAGTCTTTAAAATAATTATTTAACCTGACTCCTCCCCTTCATCTACACTGATTGAAGTGGATTTAACAAGTGACATCAATAAGGGATCATATCTTTCACCTGGATTCACCTGGTCAGTCTATGTCATGGAAAGAGCAGGTGTTCATAATGTTTTGTACACTCAGTATAACTATACAACACCAGAAACAGGAGAAGAGAGATCTTTAAAGTAATTGCAAGCACATGGCTAAACAGTGGCTAGTTTCCTTCATGAGATTATTTTTGAGGAAAACATTTCCATGTACGGTTCACAGCCATATACACAATCACCGACCAATAAAGAACAGGGGTACAGTACAGTGCAGTACAGTATTTTTCGTTCTGATCTGTTTTTCTTTCGTCCAGACTCCGGACAGTGATTGCGTTGCCTGAAAATGTATTGTATCTACTTTTCCCTGTGCTGCCAAGAGCTGTAAATGAGAGCATTCTTTCTCTCTCTCTCTCTCTCTCTTTCTCTCTCTCTCGTTCTCTTTTACTCTTTCTCTATCTTTCTATCTCTCTCTCTCCTCAATATAGCAGCTGATGAATGACTCTATTCATCCATTTTCACAGGAATATAATATAATTAAATAGAATAGAATTGAAAATAATAGAATAGAACTTGCTATCGCTAAATTTGATAGAAATCCCTGATGAACCTAACTTGTTGTCTGGTGAGGAAAAAACGTTGATCCAAAAGGACAGAGGTAAACTGTTTGGACAAGCACAAAACCACTACAAGACCAACGATTTCCACATTGACCCAATACACTTCCTGAGGTTTATGTACTAAAGGGTCAACAGCAGGTCGAAGAGAGTTCACATGTCATTTAAGTGCTATGTAGAAGCTTGGGTTTCAGTGGGAAACTTGAACTTTAAGCTAAACCTTCAAATCTAACGGTTTCCTTATTTTGTTGATTTAGTGACCACAACACCAGGAAGGGGGAATGTGGATCCCATCAATGCACATTATGGTAAACAAGTAAACAATACAATCATTTCCCCAAAAGTCAATGATGGTAGACCACACACTACTCCCTAGCCGATAACACTCCTCCCCTTCCCCTCTGGTTAGGATGTTATGTCTCCGCAGTAGAGAGACGAATATTCAGCCACTCTTAAGGACAATGGAAGTAGGCCAGGCCCAGGCTAGGTGATCTTTAGGCTATGTGGCTCTCTAACCAAGGTGCATAAATAGAGGAGAAAAGTGGAGTAAATCGAAAGACAATTGAAGTAGATTGCTGGTTTTAATAATAAAGAAGAATTTCTGAAATCTACTTCCATTGTCCTTCAATGTGCTCCAATTTTCTTCTCTATTGATGAATCATTGATCAGCTGCTATAGAGGAGAGAGAGAGTTAGAGATAGAGTAAGAGAGCAAGATAGCGTAAAGAACCCCTAGGCTGATCTGTACATGGCTATATAAGAGCTTCATTTCAGGTGCTGCAGAGTGGTGGAGAATGGTTATCCTCTCTGTCTACTCACCAGCTGACTGATCGGCCTGAGGCAGCTTGGAGACAGAGTTCTGTAAGGTTGCCAGTTTGGACTTCATGATGCGTAGTCCCTCTGTGAACCTCATCTCCTGTCCCTTCAGAAACTTCTCCATTTGACGGAGAACACCAACCACCTGGTGTTTATCCATGCAGTTCTAGAGACAGAGAGACACATACAGTACATATTAACCACAGGAGGTTGGTGTCACCTTAATTGGGGAGGACGGGCTCGTGATAATGACTGGAGTGGAATGGTATCAAATACTTCAAACACACGGTTTCCAGGTGTTTGATGCCATTCCATTTGCTCTGTTCCGGCCATTATTATGAGCCGTTCTCCCCTCAGCAGCCTCCTGTGATGTTAACATAAGATGAAGTTAAATACAAATATAACTGGTCAAACACGAAAACAACATGAAGAACATGTATATGGTGCTTGGTGGTGTTTGTCCATGCAGTTCTGGAAAACAATGAATGTGAAACTAGGGAGTGCTGGCTTTCAGTTTTACAAGCCACAACTTATTTTGTTCTTTGTCTTTGCATATAAATAAACCATGATTTGCAGTATGACAGTATTATTACGCAATTAAAATGAGCAAGCTTCAATAAATCAATAAAATCCACAGTACGTGTAATCGTCATAACATATGAGAAGAGGCAGGTATGATTTAACAACCCAAGCGCAGCTGTGGTAGTTCATGACATCACCCGATCAACGCCAAGGCTACGTCCCAAATGGCACCCTATTCCCTATATAGCGCACTACTTTTGACCAGAGCACTATGGGCCTTGGTCAAAAGTAGTGCACTATATACACTCTTAGAAAAAAGGGTTCCAAAAGGGATATTTGGCCGTCCCCGTAGGATAACCCTTTTTTGTTCCAGGTAGAACCCTTTTTGGTTCCAGGTAGAACTCTTTTGGGTTCCATGTAGAGCCCTCTGGGGAAAGGGTTCTACATGGAACCCAATAGGGTTCTACCTGGAACCAAAAAGGGTTCTTCAAAGGGTTATCCTATGGGGACAACCGAAGAACCCTTTTAGGTTCTAGATCGCACCTTTTTTTCTAAGAGTGTAGGGAATAGGTTGCCATTTGGGACGCAGGCCAAATCCAACTTTGAAATGTCTGGTGGTGGGTGGGTTCTGTGGTGGCTGTGGTTACAAATATTGACATTCGCCAAACAACCGTCGCCAAAACAAATCCCAATCCAATTTCACAGCTGCACAGGTGACTGTCTGTGTTTTCAACAAGACCAATAACATTTATATCATTGTAGTATTATTATAGTAATGTAGTGACCTGGTTGTGAGTTCAGAGATCAAAACAAATCAAAATCCTATTCCACACAGATGACCATCTGTGCTCCCAACAAGACCCAATAACATGCATATCATGGTATTATTAGTATATGAATGTGGCCACCTGGTTATGAGGTCAAATAAAATAAAATAAAGCTAAACTAAAGAGTTATAAACAAATCCCAATCCAACTCCACACAGATGACTGTCTGTGCTCCCAACAAGACCAATGTAATAACAAATACAGTGGGGGAAAAAAGTATTTAGTCAGCCACCAATTGTGCAAGTTCTCCCACTTAAAAAGATGAGAGAGGCCTGTAATTTTCATCATAGGTACACGTCAACTATGACAGACAAAATGAGAAAAAAAATCCAGAAAATCACATTGTAGGATTTTTAATGAATTTATTTGCAAATTATGGTGGAAAATAAGTATTTGGTCAATAACAAAAGTTTCTCAATACTTTGTTATATACCCTTTGTTGGCAATGACACAGGTCAAACTTTTTCTGTAAGTCTTCACAAGGTTTTCACACACTGTTGCTGGTATTTTGGCCCATTCCTCCATGCAGATCTCCTCTAGAGCAGTGATGTTTTGGGGCTGTCGCTGGGCAACACGGACTTTCAACTCCCTCCAAAGATTTTCTATAAGGTTGAGATCTGGAGACTGGCTAGGCCACTCCAGGACCTTGAAATGCATCTTACGAAGCCACTCCTTCGTTGCCCGGGCGGTGTGTTTGGGATCATTGTCATGCTGAAAGACCCAGCCACGTTTCATCTTCAATGCCCTTGCTGATGGAAGGAGGTTTTCACTCAAAATCTCACGATACATGGCCCCATTCATCTTTTCTTTACACGGATCAGTCGTCCTGGTCCCTTTGCAGAAAAACAGCCCCAAAGCATGATGTTTCCACCCCCATGCTTCACAGTAGGTATGGTGTTCTTTGGATGCAACTCAGCATTCTTTGTCCTCCAAACACGACGAGTTGAGTTTTTACCAAAAAGTTATATTTTGGTTTCATCTGACCATATGACATTCTCCCAATCCTCTTCTGGATCATTCAAATGCACTCTAGCAAACTTCAGATGGGCCTGGACATGTACTGGCTTAAGCAGGGGGACACGTCTCGCACTGCAGGATTTGAGTCCCTGGCGGCGTAGTGTGTTACTGATGGTAGGCTTTGTTACTTTGGTCCCAGCTCTCTGCAGGTCATTCACTAGGTCCCCCCGTGTGGTTCTGGGATTTTTGCTCACCGTTCTTGTGATCATTTTGACCCCACGGGGTGAGATCTTGCGTGGAGCCCCAGATCGAGGGAGATTATCAGTGGTCTTGTATGTCTTCCATTTCCTAATAATTGCTCCCACGGTTGATTTCTTCAAACCAAGCTGCTTACCTATTGCAGATTAAGTCTTCCCAGCCTGGTGCAGGTCTACAATTTTGTTTCTGGTGTCCTTTGACAGCTCTTTGGTCTTGGCCATAGTGGAGTTTGGAGTGTGACTGTTTGAGGTTGTGGACAGGTGTATTTTATACTGATAACAAGTTCAAACAGGTGCCATTAATACAGGTAACGAGTGGAGGACGGTGGAGCCTCTTAAAGAAGAAGTTACAGGTCTGTGAGAGCCAATAGTAAATAAATTCATAAAAAATCCTACAATGTGATTTTCTGGATTTTTTTTTCTCAATTTGTCTGTCATAGTTGACGTGTCCCTATGATGAAAATTACAGGCCTCTCTCATCTTTTTAAGTGGGAGAACTTGCACAATTGGTGGCTGACTAAATACTTTTTTCCCCACTGTAAGTCCTACCCAGAATTCCTGAAAGAAAGAACCGGACAACGACCTTTTGGTCAATACAGTGCACCTGCCCCTTAAAGTTACTGGATGTGTGTACACTACTTCTAAAGTAATACACAGGATTCCTCCCGTACAGTCAGTAACCCATGTGAACCCTTCTATCCACAGCTGTCTCCGCTAGCCCTCCAACCCCTCCTGGCATTCACCTGGAGGAACATGTGAGAGGCCGCCACACCATGCACCTCTCACTGTCTCTCTCTGTTTCTCTCTGTTATCCTTCTTCTCCAGTGTCAGACAATACAGCAGCTGCACCAAAGCTGTTTGACAGATGTCTGTCAGTGAGACCTCTGTCCAAAACCCTGGCGCTCTGTCTATTTACAAGGCAGGAAAGACACAGGTTGCGTCCCAAATGACACCCTATTCCCTATGTAGTGCACTACTTTTGACCAATGCCAATTCAAAGTAATGCACTATATAGGGAATAGGGTGCCATTTGGGATACACCTACAGACTCCTTGGATAACAAACCCCGAATGGACCAGCTTTGTATTCAGCTTCAGCACATAGCCTGGATGCCATGAGCAGTGAGCTATTTGAGAGCATTCTCAGAGAACAGTGAAATAAATGGCTGTTTGCTAATCCTTTTCAATCATATTTAACAAGTCTGTAGAAAAGTGTAATTTCTCAAGTGAGGGCATACCTTACATACTTGAAATGACAATCAATGCCCACAGTGAGTACTGGAATAACTTTCCTAAACTTAACCAATCACATTGATTCTGCCCTTGAGGCAGAACTGCCCTTACAAAGGTACATTCTCAGAGGGGCATTTCCCAAGAGTAGGCCCTATGTTTCAATAAGACTTTTTCCCTGTGCTCTTTTATTTTCTTTGACATCTCTCCCCCAGGCTAAAGGGAAATGCCACCAACTGACACAGTAGTGGACTCATATCCATCCTAGCAACACACACACACACACACACACACACAAACATGGGCTCAGACTAACATTTTTCCCCTGATGGCACCAGCCCATGATTTGGTCGCACCCAAAAAAATCTGCAACGTGACTCAATAGAAAACATTTGTCTCATCTTATAAAGTAATTCATAGTGCTTTATTAAAATGTATAATAGACTACTGAGATGCTATTCAAGAAATAAGTTGTTTCATCATCTTTTCATGTTGTTATTCAAAATATTTTTATGTGCAACCTAATCCAGTGATTGTCTTGCACTTTGGGTTGACAATCATGCTATTGTGGTTATATTTTACTGTTAAAATAGGGCTCCAGAATGTTCTGGTTTGTTTTTGTTCAATGGAGATGAATTTGCCTGCATCTTTATGTGTACTAATATCATAGGCTAATACAGTATATTTGGGGCTAATTCACCACCTGAGTAAGTGGAAACTCAAAACACATTAGCTAGATTGCTAACTCTAAATGTTAAATCTAACAGTAAATGTGCAATGTCCAAAACAAACTGCAGATGTAGCCTACCGCCCAATGAGGCCTATGCAATCTCAATGGCCAATGCGCATTTTTCGAGCTCCATAGGCCTATCGCAAACCATATAAAATATATTGTAAAATAGTTGCAATTGAGCTCAAAATTGAGAGCTGAGACAGTTGACTGCGGTGTTTCCCCCCAATATTTTTTTTTTACATGTTATGCAATCAGAACACTCGCTCCACACAGCAGCAGGCCCCAGCGAAAGACGTAGATGGCAGGCAGACACTGTCATTACAGCAATGAGGATAATGAACTTTACTGTTTGACCAAATCATGATTTTAGCCTCCTAAAAAATAGAACGTTTTGAGTGAGGTGACCATGTAGAATGTGGAGTTCGCACTGATGCAACCAATTACAAATTGAACTAAAATGCAACTAAATGGTCGCAATCTGGAGCCCTGCACACACACACACACACACACACACACACACACACACACACAGTGGACTCATATCCAGATGGCTTGTTTTAGACTCCTGGCCAAAGATGCCAAAAGGCATCCATGAGTCAGTGCTCATGGCTTCCATCTTATAAACTTTCAATGTGTAATTTCCCTTCCTCAATGGGATATTTGTTTAATCCTGTAAACACAGTCCTTACTCATTTGTGATGAGGACATGGACAATAATAGCCTACATGTTCAAATCATGGCTAAACCTTTTTACATTAGAACATACCAGGGATGGATAGCAATTCCAAGTTATGGTTTGTTTTGTCTGAGGAAGAACACGAAGGACTACGTTTACAGTTAACAAAACACTGCAAGACATTTTAATACGTGTTAATGTAGCCTCCTTTACTGACCGTAACATAAAGAGCTCTGAAGAGAGCTAATTAACTGTAGCCTAGAGTAACTTTTGCAACATGGGTTGTTGTTGAGGAAAAAAACAATAACTTTTCCACCAAAATATTCTTCAAAATTACGCATATCTAAGCGTAATAAACATGTTGCCTACCATACACAGATGATAAGGTGCGAAGACTACAAACCTGTCCGCCACCATGGCAAGTATGGATAGTTGTCAGACACAGCAAAAGCAAACCGCTGCGCAGCATTGATAATGCCATAACTTTAAATCCAACTGGATTGGTCTTGGAATGATGTTCGAATTTTTCTCCAAATGGTCAAACTTAGTCAGGTGTTTAAATAATAGAAAACCAACGAACTCAACTCCGATTTATGAAGCTCCTCCGCAGCGTTTGCGCAACTAAACTGGCAGTTTGTGTATTCAGGATGGGAACTAAGATGTTTCTCATCAGGTGCGAGTGGTGGTACAAGCGACGGTTGGGATGCGGTGCGCTCCCGTGCCCGTCCGTGCGCTCTTGGATAGACTATGATGAGAGTGAACCTGAATCTACTACTTAACCTAACTGAAAATGTAGACTTTGAAAATCGATGGACGTACTAGGAATAATCCCTCCCACCGACACCCCAGTCGCGTTTCTCTCTCTCCCCAATGTACTGTTCTTCTTCTCATAGGCTGTGTCGCCATTCCCAGACCCAATAGAGCAAGCAACCATCTGAGAGTTCATCGGGTGGAACAAAACTATTGCCATGTGGGTTCTTATGACTGGGGATGTAATTATAGGCTATTATTATAGTGATCAATTTACAGCAAGTCATTGCAGAAGTTGACTAGTGAGTTTGTACACTTTACACGCGCGTAAAGGGGATGCTTTGCCATTTGGCCTTAGGCTGGAATTACTTTTGATTAGGCCAAACCTGCCCCCCCAAATAACGTATGTGCCCCCCTGTTACATGAATTCCTAGGAAAACATCAAGGGAGTGGAGCAGGTAGACTCCCATCATAGCAGGCATATTAGCCTACTTCGCAATAACACATAGCCTATCCATTCAGCTAAATTATTGTTTTAGTTATACCCCAGAAACCTGCCAACCGGTTTTGATCGAACCGCATAATATTGATTCTAGAAGCTGCATGAAACAGGGCTTAAGTCTACTTATGGTCACTTTGACTTATTATTTGGGTTGAAGCGACACGCGCTGGCGGTACCTGGAACAATCATTATTGTGCGCGAATTTACCTGGAATTGATGCACGGCCTGCTCCTGCCATGTGTCTCTAATATGGTCATACATTTGGCAGGAGGTTAGGAAGTGCAGCTCAGTTTCCACCTAATTTTGTGGGCAGTGTGCACGTAGCCTATCTTCTCTTGAGAGCCAGGTCTGCCTACCGCGGCCTCTCTCAATAGCAATGCTCAACGAGTCGCTCTCTCTCTCCCTCTGACACACACACACACACACACTATGACAATATAACAGCATACAGGTCGTGATTGATTTGATTCCATACAATTTATATTGCGAAAGATTATGATCCTGTGAGAAATACACAAAGGGTAAAAACAAGAATGTCAACTTTACAAATCATTCCGCTGACGACAACATAGTTAACTTCTCTAGCGAGCCTTACACCCTTTATTCTTGCACAGGTGGAAAAAAAATGGACACATTTTTAGGCCAATGGGTATAGCAAAAGAACCCGCAACAATATTTGGACCAATTGCTTTGTAGAGTTTTGTTGTGCCTAGTCTCTGATAGGACATTATACGTGGAAGAATACATTAGAAAAAAAAGGATGTTCTTCGGTTTCCGAGAAGCCATTTTGAGAACATGTTTCGGGCGCAATGTCCTATGACGATGAAGATGCTGAAACCAACGAAAATTGTTACAAATCTGTGTGTTTCTCCCTCCGTCTCCAATATCTCGATACCATGGCAGCAGTCAACCGGCGGGATGATAATAACAAAGCGGGGTATCAAGCTGTGCTTGCTGGGTTAATACGTCATTGAAATGAGAGAGGAGAAAGAATGTCTGTTGCTTGTCTCTGTTTGAGACTTGTAACGGTTACCGTGAGTTTTTTCCAGTCTCCATGAAATCTACCAGCATTTCTCACGACACAACCCAACACCAACGGCCTCAGACTGAATAGCCTACAACAACTCAGTCTTGTTTCGAAAGGAGAAAGGCAAAGGCAGTTCCAACCGTTGTTGTTTCCACCTACCGTCCATGGCTTCTGTGAGCCTGGTCTCCAGTCCCCCAACCCCCGTTGTTGTTCTTGACAAAAACATGACAGACTCTGAGCTTGCAGAGGAGGAAAGGTCGAGTAACATTCTTATCTGTCTGGAATTCTATCTTCTTTACCCACTCATCTGTGCGTCTCAACAACATGCTTGTGTTACTGTTGTGTTATGAGCCGAATTTGTATTCGAATGACTCAGACAACGCTTCGTTGTTGAAGTCGGGCCTTTTCACATAATATGATTATTTTATGCATGCGTTAAAGCGAGGTACTAGTAACATTGTCCCGCTGTCCAAAACAGAATTCCCATCACGAAACACCCATTTGGAAGCATAGCGACTTCGCATCAATGTACCACTGTATCATTGACTGAGGATATGGGATGGGTTTGGTTAGTTATCATGGTCATATCATATTGTTGCATTCTGTAGGGGGTTATGTAAATGTAGATGATGTAATAACCTTAGCCCCGCCCCATTCATGATGCGCTTCTTTACCACCCCCTATCGAACACCACACAAATTGCTTAGAGGATTGGGAATGAGAATCTTCCTCTGCTGTGCTGTGCTGTAATGCCAGTGTTGAATGACTGTCTCTGTCAGTTGATGATGTCGACAACTCCCACACCCTCTCACCATCATTAGAAGCCCTTTTAATTTGATCTATTGGCCAGTGTTATTAGATGTTTAGCTTGCACAACTGGGAAAAGAAGGATGCTTTTAATGCAACATTAGTTTGACGTTTGTGGGAACTACATTCTATATGATATATAAAAAGAAATGGGCAATTCTGACCTAAAAAAAGTTTGACTTGATTTCAGTAGAAATGCCCAAACCGGAATAGTAACCAAATCAGTACAGGTAGTTAATTGGCATATTTAGGACCCCGGTTGAAAAATATGGGTGATGCATTTGGTATGGAGTGACCTGTGTGATTTTCTGGTTTCACATCAACAAGTAACATAATTATTGGTGGAGATATGCATGAATAAGCATGATATTTATCAATAGGAATGTATGTGTTGTTTATTTCCATTGCCAGTGTTTCCCATCTTTTGAAATGCATCCACTTTATACTATGGCCCACTCAAAAATTAGCATGTCGACACATACACCCACCAACCCCACAAAACTTCCCTGCAGCACCATCACCAACCAATCTGAACTCTAAGGTCATTACATGAACATGTAGCAGTTCATATATTTTCACCTTCCCCCATTGCAAAACATCCAGCATGCACATCTTCCACAAAGAAAGCTATTACATGCCCCAACCAGCCCATTCATATCCCAAATCTATTCCTTTATCAGCACAAGCTGTTTGATATTAAATTGCAGCTTAGTACATGTTAATTACATAGACCCCTGGTTACACTAATGTCCCTTTACCCCAGAGAATACATTTAAGGCCTGAGTTACAGTACATGAACTGTGTGCATTATCACATTTTGCCTGAACACATCAAGTCTGCGCTGTCAAACTCACCCCACCTCTTTTGTTTACCAGAATGTTAAAATCACATTTGTTTCCCTGAATGTTAAAATCACAACATTTGTTTACCTACATGTTAAAATCACAACATTTGTTTACCTGAATGTTAAAATCACAACATTTGTTTACCTACATGTCAAAATCACAACATTTGTTTACCTGAATGTCAAAATCACATTTGTTTACCTGAATGTTAAAATCACAACATTTGTTTACCTACATGTCAAAATCACAACATTTGTTTACCTGAATGTTAAAATCACAAATGATTTATATGTATATCTGGCCCATAGCATAGGGTGCTAGAGGGTTGATGGGATTCTCACAAAAAATACAAAAGTGGATATTTCTAGTGGTTTAATGACAAAAACAGTTGTTTCTAATTCCGTAAAACATTGAAGTTCATTCAAGCAATGTCTTCTTAAATGTCTTTAAAATGTAATTTCAATTTGATAGAAAAGTTGATTTTGACACAGCAGTTTATTGAGATTGGAAATGGCCTATTTGGTTTCCTCGAAACCTGTCCACTTTTTGATTCTCAAAATTGATAATGACATGTTATGTTGTTCTTTTTAAAGAGAGGATGGTGAATTGGAAGATGGAGAAATAGATGATGAAGGGATTGGGATTGAAGAGGAGAGCAAAGAAGAAGTCAAAGAAGTGAACGAGGAAAAGGAAGAGAAAGGAAAGGAAAAAGAGAAAGAAAAGGAAAAAGAAATTGAGAAAGAAGACAAGACACACAGGCACTCCAGAAAAAGATACAAAAAAACAAGAGAGAAGAGGAGGTCAAAGAGGAGGAGACGCGACAGTCGGAAAGTAAGACCAGAATCAGGAAATCCTTTAAGTACAGTCCTCCATAAAATACAATCAGAAATATGATCGGTCTGCAAAATCCTACAACTCTGCATGTGAAAAACTGCTTTTGTAGACCTTCAGGTTTTGATTTTACTTAATTGACCTTTAGACCTACATATCGATTTATTTAGATGTCATATATTCTACTTCCTTTGTTTTTCTCTATGGACCCGAGTAGCACTCAAACATTTGTTTACGTCATTCATTGATTTCAATGGGAGACTGAAAATGTGAATGAATCGTGCAGACTCAAGTCAGAATACCATCCTAAGTATCCACTCTCCTCTCTCCCAGCACCACTCCCCCTCCAGTAGCTCCAGTTCTGACAGCTATGAGTCCTCCCCGGAAAGACCAGAGAGAGACCGGCCCAAGAACAAGAAGAACCAAGACAGGTCACACCGTGGTGGTGACTACGATGGCCAGTCAGCTCAGGTAAATATTTCATTGTTTGGTAACATTTATACGCATTACAATTCATAAGCATTTAGAACATTTATAAGAATTTATAAAGCTTATAAGCATTGAAAGGGGGAACTGTTGTGGGGAAAAACTCATTCTGATTGGCTAGGCTGGTTGGTCATATGAAATCCATAAATTAGGGCCTAATGAATTTATTTCAATTGACTGATTTCCTTCTATGAACTGTAACTCAGTAAAATCTTTGAAATTGTTGCATGTTGCGTTTATATTTTTGTTAAGTATATTACAAGTATTTATATGCATGTAAACTCAGCAAAAAAAGAAACGTCCCTTTTTCAGGACCCTGTCTTTCAAAGATAATTCGTTAAAATCCAAATAACTTCACAGATCTTCATTGTAAAGGGTTTAAACACTGTTTCCCATGCTTGTTCAATGAACCATAAACAATTCATGAACATGCACCTGTGGAACGGTCGTTAAGACACTAACAGCTTACAGACGGTAGGCAATTAAGGTCACAGTTATGAAAACTTAGGACACTAAAGAGGCCTTTCTACTGACTAAAAACACCAAAAGAAAGATGCCCAGGGTCCCTGCTCATCTGCGTGAACGTGCCTTAGGCATGCTGCAAGGAGGCATGAGGACTGCAGATGTGGCCAGGGCAGTAAATTGCAATGTCTGTACTCTGAGACGCCTAAGACAGCGCTACAGGGAGACAGGACAGACAGGTGATCGTCCTCGCAGTGGCAGACCACGTGTAACAACACCTGCACAGGATCGGTACATCTGAACATCACACCTGCGGGACAGGTACAGGATGGCAACAACAACTGCCCGAGTTACACCAGGAACACACAATCCCTCCATCAGTGCTCAGACTGTCTGCAATAGGCTGAGAGAGGCTGGACTGAGGGCTTGTAGGCCTGTTGTAAGGCAAGTCCTCAGCAGACATCACCGGCAACAACGTCGCCTATGGGCACAAACCCACCGTCGCTGGACCAGACAGGACTGGCAAAAAGTGCTCTTCACTGACGAGTCGCGGTTTTGTCTCACCAGGGGTGATGGTCTGTACTCTGGAGCGGGATCGATTTGGAGGTGGAGGGTCCGTCATGGTCTGGGGTGGTGTGTCACAGCATCATCGGACTGAGCTTGTTGTCATTGCAGGCAATCTCAACGCTGTGCGTTACAGGGAAGACATCCTCCTCCCTCATGTGGTACCCTTCCTGCAGGCTCATCCTGACATGACCCTCCAGCATGACAATGCCACCAGCCATACTGGTTGTTCTGTGCGTGATTTCCTGCAAGACAGGAATGTCAGTGTTCTGCCATGGCCAGCAAAGAGCCCGGATCTCAATCCCATTGAGCACGTCTGGGACCTGTTGGATCGGAGGGTGAGGGCTAGGGCCATTCCCCCCAGATGCCTTGGTGGAAGAGTGGGGTAACATCTCACAGAAATAACTGGCAAATCTGGTGCAGTCCATGAGGAGGAGATGCACTGCAGTACTTAATGCAGCTGGTGGCCAACCAGATACTGACCATTACTTTTGATTTTGACCCCCCCTTTGTTCAGGGACACATTATTCCATTTCTGTTAGTCACATGTCTGTGGAACTTGTTCAGTTTATGTCTCAGTTGTTGAATCTTGTTATGTTCATAGAAATATTTACACATGTTAAGTTTGCTGAAAATAAACACAGTTGACAGTGAGAGGACGTTTCTTTTTTTGCTGAGTTTCTAAGTAAGTAAGTAAGCCTTGTTCGAGCCAGAACGGCCCATAGAGGCAGCTTGTGATTTACAAGTACACCCCCTGGACAGGACACTAGTCTATCGTAGGGCCTATTGGCATGCATAAACAAGCATTTATATCGGCTTCTTCATGAAGGTTAATATAAAGTAAAACCCTGGTTTGTTTGATCAGAATGTACACAAACCATACACAATACTTTTTCAATAACAAGATTACCATCTCTTCTGACTGACTCTCCCCCAGCATGGGTGTGATCCATCAAGCGGTGGCCATGGCAACCCACAGAGGTCAGAGAGGTCAGCAGGCCGACACAGGAGTGGTAGTGGTGACTATGACAAGTACAGCGACTACAGCGAAGACAAGTATGACTATGAGGGAGAGGGGGATGATTATGATGAGGAGGAGATGTGGCAGGGGAAAGACTCTATATCTCCTGGCCAAGGCCTGGGCAGGGGACGCGGTTCCAAGGACCAGATGAAGAGAGGTGGCATGAAGGGCATGCAGAAACAACAACAGCAGCAGTGTATGTATAGACTGTGTGAATTGTGTTGATTTCATGTTGAAGTGTCTTGTCGAATGGTATTCAAGTTTGTCTAGGTTAACAGTCTAGTGGCTATAGTAGTGTAAAGTGTGTGTCCATTTTTGATTTTCATATCACATCTGACAAATGTGGTTTTTATTTCATTGCAGCTTACATAAATGTGTTACAAAGATCTATGTATTAGATCGTATTGTTCTGACTTTTAATGGTTGTGTTTTTCAGTTGGTGGTCAGCGGGGGCGGGGCAGAGGAGGTGGAGTGGGAGGAAGGGGGAGGGGTAACATGCTCAACAAGAACAACAAGAAGCAGATGCAGCAGATGAAGGGCAACAAGAACTGGGGGCGTGGTCGGGGGCGAGGGGCCGAGCAGACCGGAGAGGGGATGAAGCAGGTAAAGAACAAAGATGGCTTAAAATGCGATTCAGGCACTTTCCCAATATGTCTTTCCTCAATTCCTTGCATCCACTCTCCTCGCCTCCTTTTCAAAAAGCATTGGAAAAGCAGGTCAGAGGGGAAGGATCTTCTCCTCCAATGCAGTTTGAAAAGGTGATGAGGAGAGAGAATGAGAGTAATCTAGGAAATACTAATTGAGAAAGAGCGCTAGAATTGTTAGAATGTACCTCAGTTGGTTTAGAGTTCAGACCAATCCATTTAGGCCCTTTGGTGACCTTGTCAATAGGAAGGAAGTAAGGGCCCTCCTAGTGTTTTCTTTTTATAGAAGAAATGTTAGAGCAAAGATAGTTTCTTCATACACTGCTCAAAAAAATAAAGGGAACACTTAAACAACACATCCTAGATCTGAATGAATGAAATAATCTTATTAAATACTTTTTTCTTTACATAGTTGAATGTGCTGACAACAAAATCACACAAAAATTATCAATGGAAATCAAATGTATCAACCCATGGAGGTCTGGATTTGGAGTCACCCTCAAAATGAAAGTATAAAACCACACTATAGGCTGATCCAACTTTGATGTAATGTCCTTAAAACAAGTCAAAATGAGGCTCAGTAGTGTGTGTGGCCTCCACGTGCCTGTATGACCTCCCTACGATGCCTGGGCATGCTCCTGATGAGGTGGCGGATGGTCTCCTGAGGGATCTCCTCCCAGATCTGGACTAAAGCATCCGCCAACTCCTGGACAGTCTGTGGTGCAACGTGGCGTTGGTGGATGGAGCGAGACATGATGTCCCAGATGTGCTCAATTGGATTCAGGTCTGGGGAATGGGCGAGCCAGTCCATAGCATCAATGCCTTCCTCTTGCAGGAACTGCTGACACACTCCAGCCACATGAGGTCTAGCATTGTCTTGTATTAGGAGGAACCCAGGGCCAACCGCACCAGCATATGGTCTCACAAGGGGTCTGAGGATCTCATCTCGGTACCTAATGGCAGTCAGGCTACCTCTGGCGAGAACATGGAGGGCTGTGCGGCCCCCCAAAGAAATGCCACCCCACACCATGACTGACCCACCGCCAAACCGGTCATGCTGGAGGATGTTGCAGGCAGCAGAACGTTCTCCATGGCGTCTCCAGACTCTGTCACGTCTGTCACATGTGCTCAGTGTGAACCTGCTTTCATCTGTGAAGAGCACAGGGCGCCAGTGGCGAATTTGCCAATCTTGGTGTTCTCTGGCAAATGCCAAACGTCCTGCACGGTGTTGGGCTGTAAGCACAACCCCCACCTGTGGACGTCGGGCCCTCATACCACCCTCATGGAGTCTATTTCTGACTGTTTGAGCAGACACATGCACATTTGTGGCCTGCTGGAGGTCATTTTGCAGGGCTCTGGCAGTGCTCCTCCTTGCACAAAGGCGGAGGTAGCGGTCCTGCTGCTGGGTTGTTGCCCTTCTACGGCCTCCTCCACGTCTCCTGATGTACTGGCCTGTCTCCTGGTAGCGCCTCCATGCTCTGAACACTACGCTGACAGACACAGCAAACCTTCTTGCCACAGCTCGCATTGATGTGCCATCCTGGATGAGCTGCACTACCTGAGCCACTTGTGTGGGTTGTAGACTCCGTCTCATGCTACCACTAGAGTGAAAGCACCGCCAGCATTCAAAAGTGACCAAAACATCAGCCAGGAAGCATAGGAACTGAGAAGTGGTCTGTGGTCACCACTTCTTTATTGGGGGTGTCTTGCTAATTGCCTATAATTTCCACCTGTTGTCTATTCCATTTGCACAACAGCATGTGAAATTTATTGTCAATCAGTGTTGCTTCCTAAGTGGACAGTTTGATTTCACAGAAGTGTGATTGACTTGGAGTTACATTGTGTTGTTTAAGTGTTCCCTTTATTTTTTTGAGCAGTGTATAAAAATCTAGTATTGTTAGAATCTACCGGTTAACTTCAGACCAGGAGAGAACGACTGCCCCCTCTCATTGAGGATTTCAAGTTGAAGGCCGACCGCGGTACTGCAGGCATTGTTTCCAGAAAACAGGATGCCCCATTATAGTAAATGGCGATCTTTGTGGTAAATTGTGGATCAAAAATATTGTTTTCAAACACAATCAAGGTACCAATAAATGCTTCTATTTCACCATATGTATGTATTTGAACCGATTACTTTAAAATCACACACAGACGAAGTTAAGGATAATTGAGTTGCTAATGGAAGCCTGCAGTACCTCAGTCGGCCTTCAAGTTTAGATACTCCATGAGAGGGGGCAGCACTGAGCTAGCCTGTAACGTCATTTCCTAGAGTAGCTGAAACTGCAATGTTTCCAAAAACTCCTCCCTGTAGCAAGATGGCGACATGCTGTAATGACACTTCCTGATCATCAAATGTGCCACTGAGCATTCTCATAGGAAACAATAGGGTGACGTCATCGATGGCTTCGTCCATATTTTTTACAGTCTATGCTTCAGACCAATGTTGTCCCTTTGGTTATCTTATTCATAGGAGGGTGGTGGGAAGGGCCCTCCTGGTGGTTTTCAGAAGAAGCGTCCTATTATGACCAAGGAGTTCATTAACCAACACACGGTGGAACACAACGGGAGATACATCTGTAAATACTTCCTGGAGGGACGATGTATCAAGGTAAATACTTCCTGGAGGGACTGCATCAAGGTAAATACTTCCTGGAGGGATTGCATCAAGGTAAATACTTCCTGGAGGGAATGTATCAAGGTAAATACTTCCTGGAGGGACTGCATCAAGGTAAATACTTCCTGGAGGGACTGCATCAAGGTAAATACTTCCTGGAGGGACTGCATCAAGGTAAATACTTCCTGGAGGGACTGCATCAAGGTAAATACTTCCTGGAGGGACTGCATCAAGGTAAGGCAAGTCAAGTCGGCACCTCTGAGGTGAATGTAACAACAGACATTTCGGTAACGCTACCGAAGGGCTACAGGTATAATGCATTATGGCGTGCTCATAATTATAAGCCTTGTCATAAGTATCTATGAACTGCTTAGGCCTATATTGAGTTAGTATCATGACAGTACAGAATAAATCAATGTACTTTTTAGGCTGGTATGCTGATTTGCTTTTAAAAAACAACAACCTTGTATTCTATCTCTGTCTGTCTCACCCCTCATATTCACCCTCAAACGGTTCTCTCTTTCCTCAGGGCGACCAATGTAAGTTTGAACATGAGCTGGTTACTCCAGATAAGAAGAAGGAGCTGTGTAAATTCTACCTCCAAGGATACTGCAGTAAAGGAGCCAACTGCATCTACATGCACAATATCCTTCAATATGAATCACCAACAAGTATTCTGGAATTGTCTCTGTCGTTGCATGGAATGGCCAAATCCATTTTCTATTAAGTTAATTCATGAAGTAAACTGAAATTCCAATTCCTCTTTGATAAGCAATGGATTGGAATTGGAATTTAAATGTACTATCTGAAATGACTGGATTGAAATGGAATTGACCCCAACCCTGGAATGAAACCATTACTCTAACTCTAGAGGGTTCATGCTTATCTGATCATCTTCAAATGAGAGGAATTAGTTGACTTCCCTCATCTGTTTAGTCATGATGACTCATTGGGTCAGTAGATGGCCATCAGATATTGACTAGGCTAGCGATGGAAACAAATCTCTTCATAAATTACTGTGTAATATGTGTGTTATTGTATGTGAGAGAAGTGATGTCCTATATAGATATGCAATGTAATATGTGTACTAATATGTGAGTCTAGAGCCCAGATTTAAACTTTGATGTATTCTTTAGAATTAGAAAAACGTTATTGTCCACACAATGTGGAAATGTGTCTTTGGCTTCACCACATAAAAACAGACAATTGTAATACACTTACTTGCAATACACTTATTCCTCCATACTTGTCCTTGACTTGTGGCAGTACGTGAATATCCATGTAAGTTCTTTCACACTGGAGCCAAGTGTTATCAGGGAGACAACTGTAAATTCTCCCATGATCCTTTGAATGACGTGACCAAAGACCTGCTTGATAAGGTAAGAAAAACGTAGTAATCATAAACGGAAATAATGTCGGCCTAAACCAGGGCTAGGCAACCCTATTCCTGGCGTACTGCAGGATTTTGTTCCAACTAGGCACTATGCCAGACCAACTGAGCTAATTGATCAGTTCAGTGATTGCTAAATTCAACACAACTGGTCTTCCAGGTTGGTTAAATCAAAAACATGAAGTGCCTGCGGCCCTCCAGGACCAGGGTTGCCTACTCCTGGTCTAAACGTTCTGCGTCTAAAAACCATTACACTAAGAACTTAGTGATTGTGCGTGGATCAAAATAGTAACATCTATCAAAAGTCTAAATTCTGAACAGTAGTTCACTAGTTCCCTACCCACAGCCACACAGTGAAGAGGATAGCTTTTGCATTAGATTGTTTGGTTCATTGTGTGTCCTACGAATCGTCTTCAGATCATCAACACAGAGGAGGAGATCGCCCATGAAGATGAGATGGAGTTGGAGGACCTGAGGAAACAGGGGATCGCACCCCTGCCTAAACCCCCTCCTGGGGTGGGGTTGCTGCCTACACCGGGCCCCGGTGGTCCAGGGTCTGGAGGTCCTAACCCTGGTCCTGGCCCTGGACCCTCCAGCCCACAGGAGGGGGGAAGCAGTGGGGGGAACTCTGGGGGAAAGAAGATCCCCTCTCTGTTTGAGATCGTGGTGAAACCAACAGTGGACCTGGCTCAGAAGATTGCTCAAAGGTAGCTTTACTTTTACCTGACGTGGTCATGTTCTCTTCAGTATAATGAAAAGTGTTTTTTTGCACAATTTGTCAGCTACATGTACAGTACCAGTCAAAAGTTTGGACACACCTACAAACATTCAAGGGGTTTTCTTTATTTTTACATTGTAGAATAATAGTGAAGACATCAAAACTATGAAAGAACACATGGAATCATATAGTAACCAAAAAAGTGTTAAACAAATGTATTTAATATTTGAGATTCTTCAAATAGCCACACTTGGCCTTGATGACAGCGTTGCACACTGAAATAATCTGTCTGTAAACAATTGTTGGGAAAATTACTTGTGTCATGCACAAAGTAGATGTCCTAACCGACTTGCCAAAACTACAGTTTGTTAACAAGAAATGTGTGGAGTGGTTGAAAAACTAGTTTTAATGACTCCAACCTAAGTGTATGTAAACTTCCGACTTCAACTGTATATACAGTTGGGAGCAATTTCCAAACGCCTGAAGGTACAACGTTCATCTGTACAAACATATACAGTTGAAGTCGGAAGTTTACAACACTTACAGTGGGGAAAAAAAGTATTTAGTCAGCCACCAATTGTGCAAGTTCTCCCACTTAAAAAGATGAGAATTTTGGCCAAAATGTCAAAATATTTGTTATATACATTTTGTCCTTCATATTGACGTGTACATATGAAAATTCTCTTCACTTTAAGGGGAGAAAGCTTGGAAAGTTCCAGAAAATGATGTCATGGCTTTAGAAGCTTCTGGTAGGCTAATTGACATCATTTGAGTCAATTGGAGGTGTACCTGTGGATATATTTCAAGGCCTACCTTCAAACTCAGTGCCTCTTTGCTTGACATCATGGGAAAATCAAAAGAAATCAGCCAAGACCTCAGAAAAAAAATGGTAGACCTCCACAAGTCTGGTTCATCCTTGGGAGCAATTTCCAAACGCAGCCTTCATACCGCTCAGGAAGGAGACGCGTTCTGTCTCCTAGAGATGAACGTACTTTGGTGCGAAAAGTGCAAATCAATCCCAGAACAACAGCAAAGGACCTTGTGAAGATGCTGGAAGAAACAGGTACAAAAGTATCTATATCCACAGTAAAACGAGTCCTATATCGACATAACCTGAAAGGCCGCTCAGCAAGGAAAAAGCCACTGCTCCAAAGCAGCCATAAAAAAGCCAGACTACGGTTTGCAACTGCACATGGGGACAAAGATCGTACTTTTTGGAGAAATGTCCTCTGGTCTGATGAAACAAAAATAGAACTGTTTGGCCATAATGACCATTGTTATGTTTGGAGGACAAAGGGGAAGGCTTGCAAGCCGAAGAACACCATCCAACCGTGAAGCACGGGGGTGGCAGCATCATGCTGTGGGGGTGCTTTGCTGCAGGAGGGACTGGTGCACTTCACAAAATAGATGGCATCATGAGGAAGGAAAATTATGTGGATATATTGAAGCAACATCTCAAGACATCAGTCAGGAAGTTAAAGCTTGGTCGCAAATGGGTCTTCCAAATGGACAATGACCCCAAGCATACTTCCAAAGTTGTGGCAAAATGGCTTAAGGACAACAAAGTCAAGGTATTGGAGTGGCCATCACAAAGCCCTGACCTCAACCTATAGAAAATGTGTGGCCAGAACTGAAAAAGCATGTGCGAGCAAGGAGGCCTACAAACCTGACTCAGTTACACCAGCTCTGTCAGGAGGAATGGCCAAAATTCACCCAACTTATGTGGATTGTGGAAGGCTACCAATTTTGACCCAAGTATTAAGCAATGCTACCAAATACTAATTGATGGATGTAAATGTCTGACCCCGGGATGTGATTAAAAAATAAAAGGAAATAAATCCTCTCATTATTCTGTTTCACATCTTAATAGTGGTGATCCTAACGACCTAGACGGGATTTACTAGATAATGTCAGATGGGAAAACGAGTTTAAATGTATTTGTGCTAGTGATGTAACTCGACCAACTGTATATATATATATATATACACACACACTCACACACTGAGTGTGAAAAACATTAGGAACACCCGCTCTTTCCATGACATAGACTGACCAGGTGAATCCAGGTGAAAGCTATGATCCCTTATTGATGTCACTTGTTAAATCCACTTCAATCAGTGTAGATGAAGGGGAGGTTAAAGAAGGATTTTTAAGCCTTGAGACAATTGAGACATGGATTGTGTATGTGTGCCATTCAGAGGGTGAATGGGCAAGACCAAATAATGTAAGTGCCTTTGAACGGGGTATGGTTGTAGGTGCCAGGCACACCGGTTTGTGTCAAGAACTGCAACGCTGCTGGGTTTTTCACACTCAACAGTTTCCCGTGTGTATCAAGAATGGTCCACTACCCAAAGGGGGGTGCAACTCTATATTAGGAAGGTGTTCTTAATGTTTTGTTTACTCTGTGTATTATGCCATTAAATTTGATTTTAAAAATCCCCTGAATTAATTAATGTTTTTATTTGGCATTGCAGTGGATCCAACTTCAACTCTCAGTCTGGAGGCCAGTTCCAGAGTGATGAGTTTGGTGGAGGTGGTCCCGATGACAACATGCAGCAGAGTGGACCCAATGGCCCACCCCCTGTCCCCCCTCCGGGGTCTCCCCCTGGCTCCATGGGGGGTCCCCCTCCTCCCTATCCATCCCACGCTGGGCCACCAATGCAGCAACAGCAGAGCCCCCCTGGACAGCACCCCCAACACCAACCACCCCATGGGTTCCCCATGCCACCACCTCCAGGTAACTACTAGCTTAACCCGTGTAGCTCAGTTGGTAGAGCATGGCGCTTGCAATGTCAGGGTTGTGGGTTCGATTCCCACGGGGGGCCAGTATGAAAATGTATGCACTCACTAACTGTAAGTCGCTCTGGATAAGAGCGTCTGCTAAATGATTAAAATGTAAATGTAAAAAATACTAGCTACTAGCTTTCTTCTCTTCATATTGGGTTCTCTCAATGCATCTGTAAAACCTCTCATTTGCTGTTTATTCCTGCCTCCAGGTCCGCCACCGCCCTTCCTGGGTCACCGACCCAATATGAACTTGAACCCCAATATGAACGTGAACCTTCAGAGGCCACCTCCACCATTCCCTCCCTTCCCAGACCCCATGCAGATGCTTCAGAACATGAACGTGCCGTTCCAAGCCATGGGAGCCGTGGGCCAAAATCCTGCAGAGTTCTTTAACAACTTCTTCAGGAACCAGGCTCAGGCCATGGGCCAGGGAGGTTGGTTTTACAATGATACATGGATGAATGTATTTTTATTGTAAGCAGATAATAGCGATCAATTTGTTATGTCAAGGATTTAATTATTTACAGTATGTAGGTTTTCAGTCTAAATGCTCCAAGCAATGACCATAGTCTATTCTGTTGTGTTCCAACGTTCCCTTTTTTATATTCAGTTCTTTCGATGTGATAGCAGATGTTGATTAATTAAAACCGCTCATTCTCTGCATATTCCTCCTTACATCTCCCCACCTCCTCTCTCCAGTAGACATGGGTATGCCTTTCAGTCAGAACACCTCCCAACAGCAGGGGAGCGCTGACTCCCAAATGCTGTCCCAGATGCAGGGCCTACCCCCTGCAGTACAGAAGGCTCTGTTCCTACACCTACAGCAGCAGCAACAGCAGGGCAGTGAGCCACAAGGTTTTGAGGAACAAGGTGGCAAGACCCCCAAAGGTGAGTGTGAAGGATTATCTAGACTTACAGCAAAGTAAAACAGTCTTGTACTCATCAGCAAACATTACCATTTAATAACTAGGGTACACATTTCACAGATATTGCTCAATATGCTTGGTAATACTTCAATCATGCTTATACTGTATAATCATCATGAACATAACGTACATGCTCTACACCAGGCTTCCCCAACTGGTGGCCCGCGGGTGGTTTTATTTGGCCCCCCAATATTTGTTTTATAAATTTTTCATAAATGGACATAAAATACTATATAAAAACACCAGGAAATCAGCTCCAAGTTATTTTAATTTAAGAAATCTATTCCCAAGTATTCCCACACATAAGAGAGACACGTGATCGTATACAAATGTAAGCAAGGTTTTAAATGATTATGTTTTAGTCAAACATTATATATGTTTGGGCTTCTTGCGGTTAATTTGCAGTCTACAAATTATTTGTAATTATGTTCCGGCCCCCCGACCATCCACTCAAGAAAAAATCGGCCCCCGGCTGAATCTAGTTGATGATCCCTGCTCTACACGTTTCAGATGACTCTACTAACTGGTACTCCAGTGATGAAGAGGATGGGAACTGCGTCACGGCCATCCTCAAGTCTCTGAAGAAACAGAATGAGAAGCTCCAGCAGGGGCCACAGTCCACCAAACACCCCTCAGGCCCCCAGTTGACCCCTGGAGACCCCAGGCTGCAGAAGGAGCGGGCCCCACCCAGCGACCCCCGTATGAAGGCAGCAGACCCCCGACAGAGACCACCAGACAACATGAGGAAAGAGCCCGACTCCAGCGGGGGCCCCAGACAGGCCAGGGACCCCAGGAAGGTATAGATATCTAGCCTACTGTTTAATACCGGTGCATGTCTGTTGTTGTTACTTTGTATTGAGCTTGTATGCTGCAAAATCAATCTCCTCTTTGATGACATTAAAGTGTTGAAATCTAATCTAATCTAAGGTGAGGCCCCTAGAGCCACCCAATTCCTTCAAACCAGAGCTCCACCACCATCGCCAGCAGCAGCACCACAATAAGGCTCCAGCCAGAGAGGAGGATGAGGATGGAGAGAGGGAGCTCAGAGAGAGGGCTGCACTCATCCCGTTAGATCCCTGCCCAGGTATAACACTAATATTTTAAAGCCTATTTTTATTTTTAACACTACTACGGTTGTTGTTTTCTAGCCTAGTATTTCATCCTTTTTATATTTGGATTCATCATACAATTCAGAGTCCTACTGATGTCTGCCATGTGAATGAAATTAAATAGAATAGAATATAAAACGTTGTTGTCCATAACAATATTTCGTAAAATTTTAATTTCATTAACTTTTCACTTTAGGGGTGATGCTCCGCGACCCGCGCTGCCAGCTTCAGCAGTTCAGCCACATCCGTGTAGACGTTGTGTTACAGCGCCCGGCCTACGCCTCGACCGTGGTCTGGTCAGCTGAGGACCTCATCCCCTCACTGGTGCCCAAACAGGAGCACTCCATCAATCTACCTCTACCGCCCCTCATCGCCGACGCACAGATGAACCGAACCAACAATAGGACCAGGACATTATCCCCTGACCACTCCACCATAACCAACTCCACCACCCCTCCACACATGGACCCTCGCCTGGTCGCTGCCCGCCTGAAGGAGGGTGTGCTGGGTGTGGGGGTTGGACTAGGCAGGCTCCCCTCCAGGACACTGGAGCCCAGGGGGTCAACAGAGAGGTTGTTGGATCCCAGGCAACACAAGGCCCTGGGTGTGGACCCCCGGATAGGTCGGTCAGGTAGTGTGGAGTCTAAGCTCCCTATCCTGAGGGAGACTGGGGGAGGAGGTGGTGCTGGAGGAGACCCCAGGTTGCAGAGGAGCAGTGCTAGTGGAGCCTCTTCCTCGTCTTCCTCCAAAACCACTGCGTTAACATTATCAGCCCCAGCGCCAGCTCCATCTAAACCTGAGGCTGAGAAGCCAGAGAAGCTGTGTCCGTACGCCCCAGGGCGTCTGTCCTCCTCCGGTGGAGGGTTAGAGAGCCCCACCACCTCCACCCTGCTAGGAGGCATCAGCCTCTATGACCCCAGAAACCAGGCACCGCAGCTGGGCCAGCGGGACGAGACAGAGCCCCCGAGGAAGACTGGGATCCTCAAACTACCAGCCAAGAGAGAAAACAACACTAACACTAAAACTCCACCATCATCCTCGCTCTCGCCAACCCAGCGGTCTGGAGGGTCCGTTACCACACAGGATGTCAAGGGGGGTACCGAGAGCACCGTGGATGGATCTGGGTCCAAAAGTCGTCCACCTCCTACCCTCTCCTCTGCTCCCACAGTGACAACGTCAGGGTCAGAGCCCCCCAGCTCCCCAGTCAAACCCTCCGCCCCCGCAGTCCACCACCTACCCATCCAGGCCCTAGCAGGCTTGATCAGGCCCTCCTACACAGACCCCAGACAGGCCAAACAGGTAGAGAAGGAGGCCAAGCAGCAGCAGGAGGAGAAGGAGGAGAAGGAGGAGAAGGAGGAGGGAGGAGGAGAAGGGAGAAGAGGAGGAGAAGGAGGAGACAGAAGACGATAGGCCGCTGAAAGACGTATTCAAGACCTTTGACCCCACTGCCTCCCCCTTCAGTCAGTAAATACTCCTGTTTTGAAATATATATTAACACACTCCTATGTTGAAATGTTTCTAAATATATTGACAACCTAGTTAAATATACTGTATTTATGTTCTGTACATTTTTAGAAACGTGTATCATTATTATTGAGCTTTACATATTTATTTCAACTGTATATAAAACTATGTCTGTTCTACAGGATCTGTTGAGAATAGACTCACGTGTCACTAAATGTATTGTACATTGATAGAGATAGTCCCTGTCTGTCGGTCCAAGACACAAACATTTTATCATGTTGTTATACAGTATAAGGCTACCAGTCATGGCAGAATAGACAGTAGGGTAGATGCTGGCTGTGCAGTGACTTGGTGTATGTACTGTATAACTGTCTTAAGTATATAGGGATGTTACTGGTTTTTGAAAGGGAGTTAAGATATGGACAGTATTAAGGTTTTAACTTTTATATCAAAATATGTAATATTAATTAACTGTATTATAATTGTTGTTTTATGAAACAGTACATTATTTTCAGCCAGGTCTACACACTTAAAAAATAAAAACAATACACTCACACCAGAATGAGGAATACAGTCCTATATACCAGAACACTAAGTAAACCTAGAATCTCAGTTATTTTTCCTTTTGATCTTATATTTTAATATTATTTAAAGACACTTTTATATTTGTGTTCCATGCTCACTATGGTGGTTAAGAAATAAGAATATTGAAAATGGTTAAAACATGGGTTTCATTTGGTAAATTTTGTGTGTTTATGTATGGTGCTACATTTGTTTGAGATTGATGAATTGAACTTCTTTTTATTATATCCTATTAGGTCACATTTTAAATGGCTTCTTTCGTATCATAAATGCAGTGCTTTTTATGAATGGTGTAATGTGGGTTATGTCATTTTGTTTTGTTTTATAATGTCAATATGGTTGATCAAATATTGTCTAAATGGTCAAACTCAAAGATGCTCATGTTGAAATGCCTTTTTAATCAGTGTCTTAAAAAAAATGAATCCATATATGACATCCTCCTTTATGTTGTGAGATGTATTTATGTATAGCCAAAGGAAATGTACATTACTTATATTCCTTTTTTTTTTTTTTACAATACAAAACATCCATATACAAACGACAACATATAGACGCTCACAAACATCCACGACATCACACCTGCCCAGACCCACCCGCTCACACCCCCTTCTCCAGCGCCCGCAACACTCTCCGCCAGGCCACATGGCCTCAAACTACACCATTTTGTTTCTCTCCGTCGCCCACACACTTTCAACATTTAGATAATAAAGGATTTTACCTTTACATTGTGTTAACGATGGAGGATTGGTTGATTTCCAGTTTTTATGTATACGTTCTTTCAAGATGATTGACTGGAAAAGTATCGTCCAACCCATCGGGTATCTTACTGCACCCTCATATGCCATGTCTTGAAATATGCAGACAGATGGATTAAAAGTACATTTACATTGTAATACTTCTGACAGCCAACTTTCTAACTCCGCCAATAACTTTGGGACTTTATAGCATTCCCTGAAGGCATGGATTATTGAGTCATTATAAGATATGACTCTGCCATTGTGCTGTAGAATTTGTGAATTTTGTCTCTTGTGTAATAAATTAAATTCATTAGTTTATACTGGATTAAGCGTACATTTTTGTTAACTGTAATCTCATTAGTTATGTTCCAACATTCCCTCCATATTGTACCAGTATCAGTTATTTTTAAGTCTTGGTTCCAATAGTTTTTTGTTGGACACTGGAAGTCTTATTTCATGACATTTCCCCAAAGTTGTGTGTCCCGTGGACATGATCCATACGTTTACATGGTATCAACAAGTAGTTCCTGGTGTCTAGTCCAGGGGGTTAGACACAGTCACTTGGATCCCTGCTCCTGTATGTGTATAGGAGGGGCCAGGCTGGGGGATTCTCTGTGCTGGGAGGTTTTCCTCAGGCCCAGATCATCCGTGTCTGTGTTACAGTTCTGCTGTGCTCGGTGCATTTGGAGGTTCCTCTTCCACTGGAAACAGAGCGCTGCTGCCTCCGCCCCGTCTGAGTTGGACGCCGGCTGTTTCAAACCCTGTTTGGCAGATTGCTATCTGTTATGGTAAATGTGTAAAATTGGGAAATCTATACATTTACCAGGAAATCTATACATTCCCTATCAATTGTAAATGTACAGGTTTACCAGGGAATCCATACATTTATGGGGCAGGGAATGTATACATCTCCCACAGTGAATCTGTACATCTCCCGGTAGTGGCTGTTACCTTGATGCAGGCCGTCTCTGCTGCTCTGATCCCCTGCAGAACTATCTGAAGCAGGTTCTGGGCATTCTTCACAAGGATCTCATCTGAAGACTTGCTTCCAGGGGTCAATGCATTAACACTGTGGAAATAGATGTATACAACTTTAATTAGTTCTGATCTAATTTAGGATATTAGATTCTGGGGATTTTTGTATAATAGAAATACATTATTGTTATCAGTGAACAGGATGAAAAATACAAAACTAGAAACGAGGTGAAGATCATTGATGTAAATTAGAATATGACCTGACCAAGTATGGACCCTTGAGGGACTCCACAAGTTAAATTCAGGTATTTTGACTGCTATTCCATAAGGCAAACTGTTTCTTTTTGGGAAGGTAATTTCTACATAAGTTGTCTAAATTACACTACAACTGTTGGTGTAAAAGGTGTTTTATAAATACATTGAATTGACTGGTTTGAATGATTTATCACTCACCTGGAGATGATAGTGAGTTGGTTGGTGATGGTGAGAATCTGTTCCACTCTGAGAGACAGTTCAGCAGTACACTGTTTGTCCAGACAGTGGTTTGATATGACCTTCACAAAGTGGGTGATGGACTGGCAGTTCGAGACCACGCCTTTTGCTGTGCTGACAAACATCTCTTTGCTCTGAAATATAGATATACACTACATGACCAAAAGTATGTGGACACATGCTCGTCGAACACCTCAATCCAAAATGATGGGCATTAACATGGATTTGTTCCCCGCTTTGCTGCTATAACAGCCTCCACTCCTCAGGGAAGGCTTTCCACTAGATGTTGGAACATTGCTGCGGGGACTTGCTTCCATTCAGCCACAAGAGCATCAGTGAGGTCGGGCACTGATTTTGGGCGATTAGACCTGGCTCGCAGTCGGCGTTCCAATTAATCCCAAAGGTATTCGATGGGGTTGAGGTCAGGGCTCTGTGCAGGCCAGTCAAGTTCTTCCACACCGATCTCGACAAACCATTTCTGTATGGACCTCGCTTTGTGCACGGGGGCATTGTCATGCTGAAACAGGAAAGGGCCTTCCCCAAACTGTTGCCAGAAAGTTGGAAGCACAGAATAATCTAGAACGGCATTGTATGCTGTAGTGTTAAGATTTCCCTTCACTGGAACTAAGGGGCCTAGCTCAAACCATGAAAAACAGCCCCAGACCATTATGCCTCCTCCACCAAACTTTACAGTCGGCACTATGCATTCGGCCAGGTAGCGTTCTCCTGGCATCCGCCAAACCCAGATTCGTCCGTCAGACTGCCAGATGGTGAAGCGTGATTCATCACTCCAGAGAATGCGTTTCCACTGCTCCAGAGTCCAATGGCGGCGAGCTTTACACCACTCCAGCCAACGCTTGGCATTGTTCATGGTGAGCTTAGGCTTGTGTGCGGCTGCTCGGCCATGGAGACCCATTTCATGAAGCTCCCGACGAACAGTTCTTGTGCTGACGTTGCTTCCAGAGGCAATTTGGAACTCAGTAGTGAGTGTTGCAACCGAGGACTATGAACTTGTGTGGCCTACCACTTCGCGGCTGAGCCGTTGTTGCTCCTAGACTTTTCCACTTCACAATAACATCACTTACAGTTGACCGGGGCAGCTTTAGCAGGGCAGAAATTTGATGAACTGAATTGTTGGAAAGGTGGCATCCTATGACGGTGCCACGTTGAAAGTCACTGAGCTCTTCAGTTAGGCCATTCTACTGCCAATGTTTGTCTATGGCGATTGTATGGCTGTGTGCTCGATTTTATACACCTGTCAGCAATGGGTGTGGCTGAAATAGTTGAATCCACTAATTTGAAGGGGTGTCCATATACTTTTGCCATGTAGGGTTTTTAAAAACCGCTTAATCAGGACAAATAAATAGCAAATATTCAGGCATTCAAATCAGTCGGAATGAATCCTGACTGCACTACATACAATAAACAGATTAATTATTGGCTGCAGGTAGCCTAGCGGTTACAGCAGGGATCATCAACTAGATTCAGCCACGGGCTGATTTTTTTCTTGAGCGGATGGTCGGGGGGCTGGAACATAATTACAAATAATTTGTAGACTTAAAATTGACCGCAAGAAGCCCAAACAGACATAATATTTGACTATAACATAATAATTTCAAACCTTGCTTACATTTGTATACGATCACTTGTCTCTCTATTATGTGTGGAAATACTTGTGAACCGATTTCTTAAATTAAATTCACTTGGAGCTGATTTCCTGGTGTTTTTACAGTCTTTTATGTCCAACAATGAAAATAAATCAATGTTTGTTTTGCTCCGAAAACTTGAGGGGCCAAATAAAACCACCTGGCCCGCGGGCCAACAGTTGGGGAACCCTGGGTTAGAGTGTTGGGCCAGTAACCAAAAGGTGAAATACCTGAGCCGACAAGGTCAAAAATCTGTCGATGTGCCCTTGAGCAAGGCACTTAACCCTAATTTGCAACAGGGGCGCCTTACTACTATGGCTGACCCTGTAAAACAACACATTTCACTGCACCTATCCAATATTGATTGATTGCCATTACCAGTATGGGCCCTTTCCTCCTCAGGTACTGGGCCATGTGGTAGATCTGGTCTGCCATCTCCCTGGTTACCTGGACGATACGGTTGCCCCGAGCGTCCCACCTGTCTGTCTCTTGTTTGAGGAACAGGGTGGTGTAGGTAAGAGATGGGGTGATTGTGGTGTAGGTGAGGGAAGGGGTGTAGAAAGTCAGGGATAGGGTGTCTCTGAAGACTGCAGAACTTGGGGCATCCTGCAAAGAAAGATGTGAATGTATATAGTGCATTCGTAAAGTATTCAGACCCCTCTACTTTTTCCACATTTTGTTACGTTACTTGTCCCGAAGCCACTCCTACGTTGTCAAGGCTGTGTGCTTAGGGTTGTTGTCCTGTTGGAAGGTGAACCTTCACCCCAGTCTGAGGTCCTGAGCGCTCTGGAGCAGGTTTTCATCAAGGATCTCTCTTTACTTTGCTCCGTTCATCTTTCCCTCGATCCTGACTAGTCTCCCAGTCCCATCCGCTGAAAAACATCTCCACAGCATGATGCTGCCACCACCATGCTTCACCGTAAGGATGGTGCCAGGTTTCCTCCAGACGTAATGATTGGCATTCAGGCCAAAGTGTTCAATCTTGGTTTCATCAGACTAGAGAAACTTGTTTCTCATGGTCTGAGAGTCCTTTAGGTGCCTTTTGGCAAACTAAGCGGGCTGTCACGTGCCTTTTACTGAGGAGTGGCTTCCGTTTGGCCACTCTACCATAAAGGCCTGATTGGTGGAGTGCTGCAGAGACGGTTGTCCTTCTGGAAGGATCTCCCATCTCCACAGAGGAACTTTGGAGCTCTGTCAAAGTGACCACCTGCGTGACTAAGGCCCTTCTCCCCCGATTGCTCAGTTTGGCCGGGCGGCCAGCTCTAGGAAGAGTCTTGGTGGTTCCAAACTTCTTCCATTTAAGAATGATGGAGGCCACTGTGTTCTTGGGGACCTTCAATGCTGCAGACATTTTTTGGTACCCTTCCTCAGATCTGTGCCTTGACACAATCCTGTCTCAGAGCTCTACGGACAATTCATTCGACCTCATGGCTTGGTTTTTGCTCTGACATGCACTGTCAACTGTGGGACCTTAAATAGACAGGTGTGTGCCTTTAAAAATCATGTCCAATCAATTTAATTTCCCAAGGTGGACTCCAGTCAAGTTGTAGAAACATCTCAGGGATGATCAATGGAAACAGGATGCACCTGAGCTCAATTTCGAGTCTCATAGTAAAGGGTCTGAATATTTATGTAAATAAGGTATTTCTGTTTTTTATTTTCAATAAATTTGCAAACATTTCTAAAAACCTGTTTTCACTTTGTCATTATGGGGTATTGTGTGTAGATTGATGAGGGAAAAAAAGTATTTAATCAATTTTAGAATAAGGCTGTAATGTAATAAAATGTGGAAAAAGTCAAGCTGTCTGAATACTTTCCGAATGCACTGTATATATAATAATGTATATACTCTACATAATGTGAATATAATTCTCACAGAAAAAGCACAAATACCATACAATACTCACAGTCAATTGACTTTCGTGGTAAAGTAGATGATCTTGTATCTATGTAGTTAAAATATTGAAAGTATCAGCTATTCAATGCTCACATATTGTTTTGTTGCCATCGCAGGTTCATATTTGGGCGTTGCACCACAGATTCTGGCATTCTGTTCTGTGGTATTTATATTCCCTGGATTGGTTGTCTGCCAGCGTGCAATGTCTGGTTGGTAATCAAGCCTCTTCAGAGTAGGAGAAAGATTGGTTTCAGTCATCCCTTCTTTGGAACCTCCTGGTGTTCCACCCTGCAGACAAACCTTCATAATAATAGCACATGCATTTTATAACGTGATTTTCATCGTATAACAATCTCAAAGTGGTACAGAGTGTGCTTTAAAATAATAAAAACAAGTGGAACATAAACAACAAAGAGCTAAGTTAACTTCACAAAAAACTCTACCTTGACGTGTTCCTTAGCCTCCTGGCTTAGCCCGTCCACCTTATAGATCTCCTCGGCTACAAAGTGAGCCTTGGCTGACCAGCACTGTATCTGTATCTCCAAACTGAGTGTATCGTAGATACAGTGGGTCTCCACTACCAGCCTGGCTCGGCTCACTATATCCGAGATCTGGAAGGACAGATGATCGTTGATGGACCTCAGGTTAATCCGAGCACGAGGGTTGCGAATGTAGTTGAAACAGTCTTCAACACTCTTGGTAGCAGCTTTGGCGTTCTTGAAAAGTGACTCTGCAGCAGTCTCAAATGTTTCTTGGGCCTCCTCTGACGTCTTGTCATCTTTGTGGTGCTTGGAAGCCGTATAAGCAATGTTTACGATGTTTTGAATTGCGGTGACGTAGTCCTTATTTGCTTTGTTCAAGTGGCCGGATAGTACCCTCATTTTGATCAGGAGCTGTCTTTGTAGAAGTTCTGACCTGGCAAACTGGAGGATGCCCGAGAGGGACACAATGCAGAGGTCCTCAGCTACCTGTAAGTATGCCTCAGTGAGAGTCTTTAACTCCTCCTGAAGTTGTGTTAATGTTTTCACTTTGTAGGCACTTTTACAATTTACGCTAGTCAGTCTCGCTGCCTCTTGGATTCGCAGTGAGTTCTCGGACATGGCCGCCAACCTTTTCTGAGGGGTCAACTGTCTCATCAACGTTTCCCTTGTTCCTAAAATCTTATCCAGAGAATTCAGTAAAACTTTGACTGACAGCGCCCACAGAATACAAGGCCCCTCAAGTTGATCTGCCTGACCTGATGTTGATGAGCTAGCAAGTTCTAGCAGCTGTCTTGTGTTGTTATGGACTTTGTTCAGCTTGCTGTGCAAAACTGTAAAGGTCTCCTGACAGTCGCTTGGTGCCGTTATATCAGACGACGTCAACAGCTGCACCACATCGGCACACAAACTCATGACTTCGCTGAGTTCCTGAGAAATGGCGGTGGCAGCCATGTTCGGCGGACGACCTTGAAACATTGAATAAACGGAGTGGTACCAGGTTCCAGCAGCTGGTAAGAGGACTTTCCTGATGTTGTTGATCAGGTCAGAGAACAGTGTACTGTGTTTGTAGAGACTGTCCGTGCTCATAGCTAAGCTCATCGCAGTCTCCTGAGCTGTCTGGACTAACTGAGGCGTCAGGGCCACTAACTCTGATCTGAAGATATCCAATGTCTGACTATCGACAGCGTCAACAATAGTTGAAGCTTCTTTCGCAGCCTGAGCATAACAGTTTGAAAGCTTGAGAACTCCTGTACAGACTTTGCTGAGGACAGTCACATCTTTTTCTTTAGTCACAGTCACAACCTCATACAAGAGGGGCAAAAGGTCGAAATCAAAAGGCTTTGGGATTGGATTCGCTTCACCTGAAACAGCTAGCCCGTTTAAATCATTGTTGAAGTCTTTGTGTGCCATCACAGGCTCTCCAATTTCTTTTTCTGAGGACTCAACTTTACATTCAACTGGTGAATCCCTTTCTGAAACGTCCAGAACAGGAAACTGAAGGCCAAGGTCTCTTATTTCCTGATCCATAACTGATCCTTGAGCCTGATTGGTTGCTTGGACTGAGGATAAGACTATGCGCTGGCGTGCATCCTCTCGCAGTGGACTGAGGAGGTGTGGATGTTGCTGTCCATCCAGCCCTTCTCTTAACACTTTAAAGTGCTGGATCACCACAAAGGCGTGATCTGAAAAGAGAGAGTATACATTCACATCTAGACTGGAACCAGAGCACATGTCTCTGACAGATCCGACCACTTTGGCCTGTGATGCTTCAACCTGTTTCAACAGAACTAGGAGCCCATTGCGGTAGATGGGGTTGTCACTCTTGTCTACGTGTCTTCTAACAGAGTGAACCACCTGTTTTGTGTGTGAGATAAGGTTATCAGCATGCTTTCTGAACAGTTTGTGGTTCTGGGCTTTATACGCTGTGTCGCATCCACACTGGTCATTAGCCATCTCGTGAACTGCCAAGCTAGTGAACTCTCTAACATCGATGATGTCACAAAGAGCATTCTGCAGCTGACCGGTCTCCTCTTCCCATCTCTCACACAGATCGTGGAGTTTCTGCACGGCCTCAAAGCAGTTCTCTAAGTCTGAACCGTCTTTATCCAACTCCAGTGCAAGAGGTTCGATCCCAGCCTTCAGACGCGTGAGGCATGCCCTTGAGTTCTCCACATTCTCTAGACTCTTAGAATCCGTGGCGAAAGCCGAGATGAAACTTGCAACCTGGATCATCCTATCAGCCTGTGAGAGAAGATCCATAAGCAAGAGCTGGATAGAAACTGGATCTACCAGCAACTCTTCAACTGAATCATTCTCCAAGACTTGTCCAACCATATTCACCAGCTCTTCGAGTGGACTTGACCCTGTAACAAACGTGTCCAGAACTTGATAGAGAACTGCAGTCATCATGGCACTGTCAAGGTTCTGGATTCGCTGCATCAGTGAAAAACAGATACTGTGTAAATGCTGGTTCAGGTTATCATCATGATGATTCTCTGGAAGCTTTACAAGCCTGGACATTTCTGACCAGAGATGTAGGACATGTCGGCAATGATCCACCACACTGTGCTGAAGCTCCCTTCGTGAGGAGTTGGCCACCACCATGCAGTGGAACACAAGATCTCTTAAGAGGCTGTCTAAGTTACTGATCGAGGAAGAGGAGGAAGAACTGGCCAGGAGCCTTATCAAACCATCACGCCTGTCAGTGTAGTACCCACACGGACCGAAGGCACCACCACCTCTACGGCAATCACTCTCTAATGTAGTTACAATGTCTTTCACAGTGCTTTTCACCTTGTCCAGAATGTACATTTTGGCGGCTTGGGCCTGCTCACTGGTTGGGTGTTTGATGGTGGTGACCATAGCCGTGTGAAGCATAGAGATGCATTTCCTCAAGGTGTACAAAGAGTTGTGCAAGTGCTCCGTCTGCCTAGGATCCTGTAGGAAAACAGAAGATAAACAAAGACTTTAATTGCAACTACAGGTACATCGAGTGAGTGCTCAGCTGGTCCTCTTTTTTCATTGTTACAGACTGTTGACTGCAAACACCCTTTCAATATTTTTACGCAAGAGGATAGAGTTGAGTAGCCTGGCGGAACCAGCCTGATCTCACGATAGCTCACACTCTGTTTCAATTGACAATTTAAGTTAAACAATCAGTCTGCTTGACCAGGCTATGAGTTGAGCACATTCCCTCCCCTTACCTGCAGGGCTTCAGCCCTCTCCACTACCAGGTTGTTCAGGAGAACCAGGGCCTCAGTGAACCGATGGAAGGCCTTCAGTAGAGACGGGATGTCCAGGGAGGAACCCAAAGAGGATAGGCAGTCCAACACCCAGTCTGCAGCCGCTACGATCTTTCTCACTGTTGCATTGTCCTCCACTAAAAGTATCTAGATGACATAGGAATATAAATAATAGATAGTGATGATTTTTGGAGGGTTTACTTGAATAATATTCAATTTTCTAATGAATATGATGATGTTATACAACATGCTTTATAGGGTTATAAAGGGTTTTCTTGAACACTCTTCACATATTCTGCAGATAGTTGTTATTTTCCTAGTACATATGTTGTTCTACGACTATGTGAACCAACCTGGAAACATACTGTACGCTGTTTAATATTCATAAGTTTGTATATACGAAGAACAGGTAATGATTATAAGACATTATAATGTCATGCTCATGACAAGTCTTCTAACTTCACCATAACGCAGTATAGCTGCAGACTTTAAGTAAAGTGTCACCACATAGGCTAATGTTACTGTACTTTGACCACTCCTAGCAGTACATTCTGTGTTGCAGTGATGAGCTCCTCTCTGTGCTCAGCGAGGCTGGGCTGGATACTGAGTTTCTGGGCTGCCAGCAGGACATGCTGTCCAGACACAGTCATCGGCTCCACTAGGGATGACATCTCTGTCCTCATTACCTCATCATCTGTGGCTTCTGATCGTCTTGGAAGAGAGTGAAAAAACTAAAACAGCCTGGTTTTCATTTAATGATGTTGTTATTTAGGCTGGAAACCAAACGGATATGCTCAGTGAAACAATAGTTAAATGCAGAGCCATCTATTTATATTTGCAATGAAAGGATCTGGTAAAATTGAGCATATCAGTTTGGATTCCAGGCTTGTTGTTATTACTCAGGGCACTCGCAGTTCTGTATGGTATTACATTTTTTCACTATGTGATGTTCATGACAAACTTTGCATGTTGTTAAGTTTAGAAAATAAAGTCTGGCTTCAATAAACCGATTCCCGCTCAGATGATTATAAGACATTCTTCCTGTTTTGCAATAACAGATGGAGTCAACAAATGTGTGTCATGCTGGACCAGAGGAAGCAGGTCCAGGTAGATGCAAGAGAATAGACCTATCTTGTAAATTTGGGGAACATAGTAAAACCTACAATTATAAATCTAGCAAAGAATACTATTACTGTATATTATATTTTATAAGGAGCTTCAACCATATTTCTTATAGACTACCTGTCCTTTGTTTTTAAATACGTGCATGCAAGGGAACAAGTACACAGTTTGAGAGAAAGGATAGAGAGAATTGGAATGCAGGATCCCATCACCTGCAGGCAACAGCGGCCATGTTCTTGGTGGCTCTGGCCACAGCCTGTGCTTCTCCCTCTAGCTGGGTGAACTGCTCTGGTCCCTCCAGCCCCTCTGCTCTCTCACACAGCAGGACCAAGTGGACCAGGTGGGCTGCGATGGGGGCCACCACCTTCTCTATAGCAGCTGTCTTTATCAGGCCAGCCTGGTCCAGGAGAGATGCCATACCTGGACACTGGTACTGCAGGAGTAATGGCCAGGAGTTTAGTAACGTTATATGAAGTTTAATTTACAAATGATACAGATAGCCCATCATGTTGATTAGTTTGTATTTGCAGCTGTTTTTTTTTACATTGGTAACTAGGTCTCCTTATAAACAGCTTCTAAACATGTGTTAAAGGTAGTCTCAGCGAAATGACGTTGCCATGAGCAGCAAGACTTTTCGATGCTCTCACATCGTCACACACAGTATAGTATCTGTGCATGTGCACGGGTTAACTTCACGCTGTTATAGCGTGGTAGCCACGAGACCAAAACGGCAGAGAAGTTGAGCCTTGCGCTTCAACACTCCTAGTTGCGGAAAAATTGACCCACTATGCTGTTTACTTTCTACCTCATATCGCTATCTACCTTTAACTAAATACTTTGTAAGCAGATCTTCAAAGTAAGTATTTCATTTTCTTAACAAGTGAAGATGAAAGCTTTCAGGTTCAGCTTGCATCATGTTTAATGCAGCAATACTACTTTATTAAAATGGTGGCATTTTTTAAATAAATTAAATGCTGAATTTACCTGTGAGGATGTCAGCTCGGTCTGCAACTGTTGCAGCATGGTGTTGTAGTCTAGTTGTCTCAACTCACATTAATTATTTAAACGCAACTGAGTGAGAAGCCCTGTGCTTGATATCAGTGTTTCATGGCAACCAGTATCAGATGACATTTCCCCCTTCTAATTTTTACTGTGAGAAAATACCACTATCGGTCTGCCACAAGAGGGTGCCATACACCGTACAAACGCAAACCGCCGCAACAACGTCAAACTGGGAGAACATTTCTTGATAAAAAAAGAGAAAAAACAGTTTTAATCTAAAATTTATCAACAGATAAATATACAGCTTGAACATGAGTTTAAACATCAAACATATAGAGCAATACTTTTATACAAATGATAATTCAGTGACAGTAGTATATCTTAAACAAAATCCAAATACATATGGTGTGATAAAGGTGAAACAATATACAAATAAAGAACGAAACCATCACAGTTAAACTACAACAAAACATGTCAAGTGTTTACCTCTGCTAATATCCATAGATAACTATATCAGATGCAGAGGACATGGTGAATGTGTACAGTACTTGCCATGCCAGTGAAATGAATGGGTGACATTAAAATATACGGTGTATTTCTAACCAATCAATCAATCAGAGATCAATGCAGCATGATTGATAAAGACTAAGCCAACATAGTGAGCACAATAAAGTGTCTCAGCCATTTAGTCTGGTAACGGAGCACCGCACAATTCGGCTTTCAAAAAGCTCTACATAATTTAGGGGTCTATTCAATCCGTATCGCGGAAGTTAATCGTTACAGCATGATTCAAATTTAAAGGCAATGTTCCCACGTTAGCGGAGACTGCATTCACGGTAAACGCTGCAGATGTCAGCTCAATAGGAAATTACCTTTCAAATTCTAGCACGCTATCTGTAACACTTCAGCAATACAGATTGAATAGAGCCCTTAGTTAGAGAGACGCTATGTTAGACACTTCTTTCCTAATTTCATCATCACACAAAAGCCCCTCTCAACCGCCGGCTGTTTTTATATACACTGAGTGTACAAAACATTAGGAACACCTGCTCTTTCCATGACAGACTGACCAGGTGAATGCTATGATCCCTTATTGATGTCACCTGTTAAATCCACTTCAATCAGTTTAGATGAAGAGGAGGAGACAGGTTAAATAATAATTTTAAAGCCTTGAGACAATTGAGATATGGATTGTGTATGTGTGCCATTCAGAGGGTGAATGGGCAAGACAAAATATTTAAGTGCCTTTGAACAGGGTATGGTAGTAGGTGCCAGGCGCACCGGTTGCAAGAACTGCAACGCTGCTGGGTTTTTCACACTCAACAGTTTCCTGTGTGTATCAAGAATGGTCCACCACCCAAAGGACATCCATCCAACTGTGGGAAGCATTGGAGTCAACATGGGCCTGCATCCTTGTGGAACCCTTTCGACACCTTGTAGAGTCCATGCCCCCACAAATTGAGGCTGTTCTGAAGGCAAAAGGGGGTGCAACTCAATATTAAGAAAGGTTCCTAATGTTTTGTACACTCAGTGTATGTGGCACATATTTTTATACCTAGCACATGCTACATTTGGGATTGCACATTCAGAAACTCATCAACCCTTTTATAAGCGTACACCTGTCAATCTATAAACATATATCTTACATCCACACACATCTCATTGTTCGTCAATTACATAATTCCATGTAAGGAAAACTTTAGATTAAATTGGGTTTACTCATCAGATAACACAGATCCACACTTTGAGAAAGAGACACTGAGGTTTACAGGGTTATGGGTCTCTTACAATGGATTAATGGTCCCTTTCTCAAATAGCTATGTGCTTTAAAAGGTGCATTCTGGGAATCTGTTCCATGGTCATTAAACATTCTTATACCACCTATCCCTCAGCTGTATACCATCACCAAAACAAGTGGCAGGGCTGTAATTGGTTAACAAAAATGTATCCCAGGTTGTAGCTTTCTTGATATATACCACCCATCCTTCAGCAGGATACCATTACCCAAAAATGGTATCCCAAATTGTAGCTTTAATGGTGGCATTCTAGATTATTCAGTCAGATCAGTTTTGAACACTTACATTCCAACATGTTGACTTAAAAACTAGCTGTTCTCATAAGCCTTAAATAGCTAGTAGTTTATGCATGGTGATGGAGTAGAGTGAAGCACATTTCCTAACCTTGCTATTTTAAGGGTATTACTCACCCCTGTTTCTCTGCCATGGGGAGGGTCCTCTAGTAATGGGTGTAGGTAGGTATACAATGCCCTGGGCCTCTAGTAATGGAATGGGTGTAGGTAGGTATACAATGCCCTGGGCCTCTAGTAATGGAATGGGTGTAGGTAGGTATACAATGCCCTGGGCCTCTAGTAATGGGTGTAGGTAGGTATACAATGCCCTGGGCCTCTAGTAATGGAATGGGTGTAGGTAGGTATACAATGCCCTGGGCCTCTAGTAATGGAATGGGTGTAGGTAGGTAGGTATAGTTTACTCCGATCTCGGATATTCATCCTAGCCTGGATTCAAACTGAATTGTTCAGCTTCACTGTTGTAAAACTGTGGTAAACATGAACTGAAACAATAGTGAAACGGAACAATTCAGTTTGGATCCAGGCTGTGTTCTTCCGGCAATTAAGAGTAAAACATCCTATAAGGTTTGGTATTGCGCTAGCCTGGTCCCAGACCTGTTTGTGCTGTATAGCCAACTCCTATTTGGTAATTGTCATGTTTGGCATTATAATCTACATATGATCCTACATTGAGGATCATAAAAACATGTTTACTGAAATTGAAAAACCTTTTGAAACTGGCTATGCTTGTGATTGATCATGTGGATACCTGAGCAATAGCTCTTTGCCAAAACAGTTTTTGACACTTGATTCTCAAAGAATGTAACCTATATTGCACTTCTTTACAACATTTCTTGTAGCTTCAAAAGATTGGCTTGATGTGTGTAAAACTACAAATTGTAACTGTAAACCAAAATGTTCTAATTTTCATCTAATGCATAGCCCTATACCAATACTCTATCACTACTGTAACTACAATGTTGTTACTTCAGTTCTTACTATGTATTTAAACAGGTATAATGGGAATTTAAAGGTATAATGTTAACCTTTCCACTCATCTCCTCAAATAATAGGATACATTTGAAACGTTTTGTCGGAAAATACCATGATTTGTGAAATCGTCCAGACTATCATCTTATTCATGGACCTTCTCCTCTAGCATACAACACTGAAGAGATTATAAACTTAGTTGCAACAAGTGGAATGTTTCTTTGAGCTAAAAATGATTAGTATATCTGTTAATGCTATCTATCCACTCCTCCTCTATCCACTATCTCCTCTGCCTAACTCAGAGTACATTTGAAACTTCAGTCTGAAAAGACCACACTTAAGGGCTCTATTCAATCCGTATCGCGGTTGATTGAAATTAAAAGTCAATGTTCCCTCGTTAGCAGAGACTGCATTCACGGTAAACACTGCATGTCGGCTCAATCGGAAATGACCTTTACATTTCTAGCGCGGAATCTGTAACGCTTCAGTCATACAGATTGAATAGAGCCCTAACTGTAAATTAAATGCTCTAGCTACAGTGGTGTTGATGATGTCTGCATCTGGAACAATGGGTTGCTTGGTAGTGGATGAAGTTAGTTTCCTCTTTACTATATAAAGCGCTTTGAGGGTCTGGAAAAGCGTTACATATACAATCAATTAAAAACTTAATAGAACTCTTTTGCTTGGTTATCAGCATTTCTTCATGACAATGACAACTTTGATGTGTGACAAAAATATATCTCTGTTTATGGTGAATGGTAGGTCTACACATAGAAATAGAATGTTGACTTGAATGGGAATGTCCGCTCTAGTAATTATATTTCTATGGGCCTTCATACGACTAGCTTTGGCTGGTTGCCCATATAGCTATCTAAGGGAGAAGGAGATGTGTGAGATATTCAAGAGATATTCTATGAGCAGGAAACAGTACAGAATTATATACTATACTCATATACTATACATTATCTTTGGCATCGAAACGAAAGGATAAACTTTGGAAACATAGCATCAACTCTTCTTATCAACTCGGACATCAGTGCTTTAAAGAAAAACATATAGATATGCTTACATTAGACTTCAAAAACCCCAACCAACCCTTTCTTGAAGCCTCAATTTAACACAATATGGCTTTAATATGTATAAAAATAAATTTTTGCTACTATTAAAACAGAGCCCTGAGGGTTTTCGTGGTCTTGTCTGATAATATCTGTCATTTCCACTTCCTGTCCATGGACATCAATCTCCTTGGGTGTATTCAGGGTTGTGAAACATTCTGAACGTTGCAGATAGAAATAGAATGAATAGAGCTGATGCAATTCCATATTCTGATATATGACAATTTCTGTTCTGCACTATACATTTCTATCTAAACGTTCTGGAACGTTACAGCCTCCTGAACAGGCCCCTTCTTTCTTTAACAGTTCCATTCTGTTATTTTCTGTTGGCAGGGAGTTACCTCCATAGATTTGATTGGCAGGAAGTTACCTCCATAAGCACCATAGGGACTAAATTTATTGCGAGTGTTATTTTCATTTGGCACCAAACGGAAGAAAAGACAAACAGGAAAAGACTCATTGGGCTTGTCAAATAAGAAACGCTCATTTCCATTTTCTGTTGCACTGAATTAGGGTCCTAATGAATATGACCCTAGCAAGCCACACCAACCATCACCTCAGATGTCTGTTTGTTTGTTTCCTCGATCCCCTGTCCCCCACCCACCAAAATGTCAAGTCTCCCTCCGACAAATCCGGAGAATATTTATTTCTCTTCCACATATGGAAGATTGAAGGGCCCTTAGTCCTGATTGGCTGGCTGTGGTGAACGCACCCAGCTCATTGGATCCTCCATTGACCCAATCCCCAATCCCTGCGTGCTCATTGGCTTCTCTGTCTCTCAGTGATTCTTTTCCGCCCAATCCCAGCTCTCGTCACTGTCCTTCCTGTTCTTCTCGGCCTCGATGATC